TTTTTAAATTTTAAGTATATTTAACAATGTAATTGGCATGTCTGAGAAACAATTACATTTTTAAATTATATTTTATATTTTTTAAATTAAAATTTATTAAAGTTCAAACTGTAGTGGAGCTCAGCAGTGAGCCAGCTGCAAAATTGTACGTTTAAAAAACGGCTGAAAAAGATGTGCTTCTTTTTACGTTCTATATATACATATATATATATATATATATAATCCATATATAAAGACAACTAATAGTTGCACAGTCATTAAGTTATGAGATTGTGTGAACTTCTAGTAAATATTGCCCGATTTGCCATACCAAACATGCTTTTGAGGAAACCAGCTAAACTTTCTAATTAAGCATAAGACAAGAGAATTCATTTAGCTAGAGCTAAAGCGATTTGAGCTTTTAGCTTGAAAAAATATGCCAAAGATGTGCTGCATAAAATAGTAGCTCTAAAAATAGCTAAAAAGCTTTAGAAAAACGCTAAAAAGCAAAGAAACGCGCGCTCGCTGCTGCTCAGACGCAAGCTAAAAAATCTAACGGCACATGAGAACAGCTCGAAAGCAAAGCAAAGCAGAGAGTCTATGTCTATGTGTGGTTGTGTGCAAGTATGTGTGAGTGTAAAGACATGCGTGAGTGTGAGTGGCACACAGCAGGTGCAGTTGTAAATTGTTAATGTCAAGCGTCATCAAATTAAACATTTTACAACGCAAATAAATGTGCACACACACATACATAGAAGCACACTCACACACAGCGCACATCGCAGTCGACAGCGCCGCGAAGTATGCAGCAATTTCTTTCCATTTGCTTTGCCCTAATCGAACGGAAATCCTTTTGACTTTAGCCCAGTGCAAAAGACGTTTTTGCACTGCAAAAGCTAAGCTAATTTACCTAAAAAATATTTCTTATTTGATTTTATTTTTGAACATGTTTTCACACGAAACGTTCAATTCATGGAATTCGTGTCAGAATGAAGAGTGAAGTGGAATGGCTGGGCGAATGGGCGAAAGCAAAGGCAGCTTAACAGCCACAACAGCAAGCCAACTATATAGAGCAGCCATATAGTCAGGTGTGGGCTAGAAACTTTAATTAACTTGCCAGCAGAGTGGCACAATTGTCAATTGTCAGCGTTATCAGACATTTTGAGAGCATAAATACACAAAGGAACTATGTGGAAGTACAGTAAACAGTCGATATGAGGAAAGAAAATTGAAGTAGATTGAGATTGCTAAACATATGAACAAAAGGCTTCTTTATGGAGCACTGTTATTAATCACAAAGCACTAGATGATGCTGTATATATTTGTTTGCCAAATCGATAGTTATCGAAAGTAGAACAAAGTTGTGATAAGGGAGTTTACTGTCTAGCTTTACATTTTCTGTACCTGGCTTAAAGAATTTTAGATTCGCTGCGCGTGTACTTATGCCTTACGAGCGACTTTACGCTCAATATCAAAATCGATATTTATCGATAATATAGAATGCGTAAGTCTGCTAATATTAAGTGGTTTTTCGGTCAGAAATGAACGTATAATGATATTTATAAATTTCCCCATTTAGACTAAAAGCATCTATGACTACTAAAAGATGTCAGCTGAATGTTCGTGCTGTCAAGAGTTCACTGTACACACACACTAAATCAACAGCTTTTTTAAGCTAATGTTCAACTTTGCGTGTGCTCACTGTAATACATAGAGTACATTCAACTATGACAAATAATCTGCTATCAACTGTTTCTCTCTCTACCTATCTGTCTCTCTCTCTCTCTCTCTCTTTTATGTTGAACTTTTGCCATTGCTTTTCGCCTAACTGTCTGTCAGACTCAATAACACGAACTGCAGTTACTTGCTTCTTCTTCCATTTTCAAGTGAAATCTGTCTGTCTCTCTGTCGCTTTATATCTAGCTATCCATTCGGTCGCAGTCAGGCTGTCTGCCTGTCTGTCTGCTCGCCCTGTCAGGCCCGGCTCAATCACACAATTTTTTGACGCATTTCCATTTGTAGCTGTCGCATTAGCAAACACACACACACACACACACACACACATTTAGAATTGTATTAATTATTCAGTTTTTAATATTTAATGCTATTTTTTTAGGCTATATACGATATATATATATTATTTCTTTCTCTTTGACAGCAGCTCAAGAGAGCATATTGGCTTTGTGCAATGCCCGTCTGTCTGTCACGCTGCTAGCCCTTGCTCCTGCTGCATAAGTCCTAGACTTTGGGGCGTGTCAAGTCTGCAATTATTGATTTTTGAATACACTTAACTGTGACACTGAGCGCGTATTAGACAGTCGCTCAAGCCCGACTGAAATATTTTGATTTGTTTCAATTAACTTTGTCAAGTGGCGCAATGTTGCCTGCTCTCCTTCTAGCTTCTTCTCTAACTCTCCCTCTGCCTTTTCTTGTCTTATATAATATATTTCATTTGTTGCTCAAGTTTTGCTCGCAGTGTATTACGTGTCTATTACGCAATTTGCCCCTGCCTCAGCTGCGCTGCCTCCAGCCCAATGTGCTGCGAGTTGGCAAGGCTTTGTCAATGCATTTGAATTGAGTTCGAATCAAAACATTTGCGTAACAATTTTGGCAGCTGCAGCATGGACCAAGCCCCCTTCCCCTTCCGGTTTCGACATGTGTGCGGCTTTTGTTGTTAGCGCAAATGTTGCAAAAGTCAGAACAAGCTGCAGATACGCAGCTACAGATACAGATACAGAGACAGATATAGATACAGATACATTTACAGATACGTAAGCAACTCGCCCCGTTGCCACTAAAGTTTTGAAAACGAAAATCAATACTGAAAGGGGGCTAAGATAACTATATACATATATATCATATATATATATCATATATATATATATATTTATGTGTGTGTAGTGGGCACAGCCCTCCTCTAGCTGTGCCTCTTCCCATTTCCATTGTAAATGTCATGCTGTTGCATATTTAACGCGTTTACGAAGCCATCCAACAACAAGATACAAATACACTCAGTAGAAGGGCGATGGGCGGTGGGCGTGTCAACGTGTTTAATGTGCAAATCACGCTTTGAATGACGAAACCTGCACAAGCGAAAGACATGCGAAATTCTATGCAACTGAATTGAAAGGCAACAAGAAAACAAAAACTTTCGAACACTTAACGAGCAGACATTGCTTAAGCCGAGGCATAACCAAGGGGGCCATAGAGCGGAGCTGGGGTTTACTAGAGCAATAACAGCGTTTGACGCAAATAAATGGGATTCGAACCAGCAATTCTATAGACGTAGGTGGCAGAGTACTTTGAGTTGAAAAGGAGGAGCTTAGGGTATATTGGTTTTGTTCAGGCGTGTCTAATATACCTTAGTTATATTTATATATTCGCTAACAGTCGAGTCCATCAGCACTCACAAATCAAGCAGATTTCAAGTAATTAAATTAAGTTTCTTAATTAATAAATGTTTATTTCTGTTAGATTCCACATTTTTTTCAAGCCACCCTCGCTTAAACATAATTCAAACTAAACTCGTCTATAGACTTTTAAATTTTCCAACTTTGTTTATAGACAATGCCTGTCAAACTTGAGCTTGGTTGTAGCTGTCGAGCTGTAAGTGTGACTCTCAAACTGCAAGAGATTTGTTTAATTAGTAAAAATATTGAATTTTGATGTGCGCAGCAATGCCTACTAAACTGCGCCTGCCAAACTGTAAGACATTATAAACGATAGCAAGAAATCAAAGCCTTACTTGCTTAGCAGACAGCTGTAGACCTCAGGCAGTTACACTCAAACTTTAATTACGAGACTGTGCATGTCAAACTGTTAGCAAACAGTCACAGTTTGGCATGCAAACTTCTTCTTTAAACTCAAACTGCAAAGCATTTAAATAGATTTGCTTGAAAATTGCATTTATATTCGAATGATTTTTTCTGTGACTGTCAAACTGTAGCTCTCAAACTGCATGACATATTATACTTTAAAGAAACTCAGCAGCAAGCTCTTTAAGCATATAAAGTTATGTATTCCATTTGAACTGCATATATAGAAGCTGCTATAAGATCTAAAATAATAGATTATAAGATCTAAAATAATAGATTATAAGATCTAAAATAATAGATTATAAGATCTAAAATAATAGATTATAAGATCTAAAATAATAGATTATAAGATCTAAAATAATAGATTATAAGATCTATAATAATAGATTATAAGATCTAAAGTAATAGATTATAAGATCTATAATAATAGATTATAAGATCTAAAATAATAGATTATAAGATCTATAATAATAGATTATAAGATCTATAATAATAGATTATAAGATCTAAAATAATAGATTATAAGATCTAAAATAATAGATTATAAGATCTATAATAATAGATTATAAGATCTAAAATAATAGATTATAAGATCTATAATAATAGATTATAAGATCTAAAATAATAGATTATAAGATCTATAATAATAGATTATAAGATCTAAAATAATAGATTATAAGATCTAAAATAATAGATTATAAGATCTAAAATAATAGATTATAAGATCTAAAATAATAGATTATAAGATCTATAATAATAGATTATAAGATCTAAAATAATAGATTATAAGATCTATAATAATAGATTATAAGATCTAAAATAATAGATTATAAGATCTATAATAATAGATTATAAGATCTAAAATAATAGATTATAAGATCTAAAATAATAGATTATAAGATCTATAATAAATAGATTATATAAGATCTAGAAATATCGAATATGCCAATATATCTTTAGAGAATATTCTATAAGATCTTGAATACTTAACAATCTTATTACATCTTTAATAACATATATCTGCCATTAGAACTTCATTTATAGGGTATTCAATGAGATATACATAGCTAATATATATCTTTTTGTACAGCTCTCATTGTATCTTCCATGACAGAAATTCATAGGAAAAAAAACAAACAAAATGGAATATTATCATTTCTTCAGCATATTTAATTTCTCATTTAGCGCACCCATTTCAATGGGGTTTACAAGTTACAAGTAAAATTTGTATAAAGCCTCCGTTCTGAACAAAATCCTAAAGCTTACGATAAAAATCAAGTTTAACTAAATTAAACTAAAATTGGGTTTTGACTTTTCTTTTGGAATTGGATGGAAAGCGGCGTCTATGACTAACCTATGGACTAGGCAGAAACCAATGCAAGGAACTCTTCCACACTCTCCCTCCCGCTCTCCGCTCCTCTCTAGGTGCTGCTTGAATTGGAGCTGATGCTCTGCAGCGAGCTGTTGGATGCAGTTTTTCTCAAAGCCTCGCCCGCTAGACCACACAGATTCTGGACAAGCGTCGCTGAGGAACGCGCCACATCCGGCGAGCTCTTGGCATTGGCAGTGGAGTTCGAGTTCGAGTTCGAGTTGGAGTTCGAGTTGGCCAAGCCGTGACGCAAAGGTTGCGGCGACGTTGGATTGGATAAGCCGGACTCATGTATGGGCGACAAAGTGGGCGATCGAGTGCGTAGAAAATGCTTTCTACGCTGTCGCCTGTAAACGTTGCCCAGACTTGGCAATTGGCGACTATTGGAGCAGGTTGCTCCATGCAGTCCACTGGAGACAAAGCCCAAGGTCTCGGCCAGCTCAGCCAATTCGCTTGGATTCGGCATTTTGCGACGCGTGGGCGGCGGCAGGGCAGGCGGCAGCGTCAATGTATAGCTGGTGGTTACAGTATCATCTCGGATGACGCTGGTGGGCAACAGCATCAGCTCCTTGTTGCCGTTGCCGTTGCCGTTCACATTGCCATTGCCATTGCTGTTGCTGCTTAGGTCGCTGCTGCTGCTGCCGCTGTGACTGGGCGAGCTGATGGGCGGCGGCGGCGTCGCTTGCGTCATGCTCGTTGCACTGTCGTAGCCACGGTCCGGTTGCAATTGTAGCGGACGTATTTGATTCTGCTTGATGGTGGCCACCTGCTGCTCGGCAACACCCACGCCATGGCCATGGCCACGTTGGCAGCGTGCACGTCTATAGCGTCCGAGCAGACGCAGCATGTGACGCAGTCGTGAGCTGCGCGTCGTCTTCAGTGTGGGCAGCTCAGTGGGCGTGGCAGTTGGTAGTACGCCGCCACCAGTGCCGTGCGGCATTTCCAGGCCACCGTTCAGACTTCTGATGAACTGCACCGGCAGCTCGCTGGCATTGATTTTGCTGGCCGAGAGTGCGGCCAAGAGGTCGTTGGGCACATCTGGACTGTCTGGGACACTGGCACAGCAATTCCATTTTCGCCGCCAACGCTGATGCTTCGATATATTCCCAGCTGCCGAGGCACTCGACGTGGGCGTGGCCGTTTGGCTGGCCAAAGTGCGAGTGCTGCTGCTGCTGCGCCCGGCGCTGTTGCTGTTGCTCTGGCTGCCGCGCAACGGACTGCGCAGCTGAAAGGTGCACAAGGTGCATTGCTCTGTATATTGAAGATACGATGCCGCTGCTCCGGCTCCTGATCTCAGCGGACGCTGTCGCGGCTCCAGCGCTGCCTTGGCACTGGCTGCGGCGCTCACTCGGCGCTGCATCGAGGCAGCTGCATAGCTGGAACAGCAGTGAAAGGAACGCAGCGGAGCTGCCTCTGCATCCAGATCCAGCTGCAGACGCTCGCTGCGTCGCTCCTGGAGCAAGGAGCACAAATAGATGGACTGACTGGCCTGATGGAACTCCCGAGAACTGGCGCAGCAGTGCAAGGCAGCGCCAGTGGTCAGCTGCTCGTGCTGCTGATTGGGATGCGGCACACTGGAGCAGCAATAGAGCTTGGACGGATGCTGGTGTTGCTGCTGATGATGATGATGCTGGTGCAGTGTGGGCAGATTGGGATTGAAGTGTACACCGTTTTTGCCCTGCTCGAGCAGCTGCTTAGCCTTCGCCTCCTGCGCCTGCCGATGGTTCCGTATGTACTCATACGTCGTCAGGCCCAAGAACGAGATGTAAATGTGAAAGAAGCAGAGATGCAATAGCAAGCCAGCACTGATTGCTGCCAGCAGGCCGAGCACGCCCAGCAGCAGCAAATAGATCGTCTCGTGGACGCCGATGCCGGCGACTAGAGGAGTGACTGTGTGGTTCAGCTGAGGCTGAGGCTGAGGCTGCAGCTGCGGCTGCAACGTGCTCTGCTCCAGCAGAGCTGTAAAGTTTTCCAGCATCGTGGGCAGCGTAGAGACTGTCAGATTATTTAGATCCGTCTCCTGCGCCAGTTGCTGATCCTGCTCCATGAGCATCATGGTGCCGTTGCTCAAGGTCAACGTTAAATTGATATAGTCAGTTGACTCCGATGGCAATTCGAGTTGATTGCTGCACCAATAGAAGCTCAACCAATCCGGCTGCACATAGTAGAGCACTATCTGCCCCACAACAGCGGCCACAATGACCAGTGTGGCCACCACAGCACTGACGACACACATTAGAAAGGCGACATAGTTCCGCGAGCCGATGCAATGATTCAACCACTTGCAATGATGATCAAATTTACCCACACACTTGTTGCACACCGAACAGTGTTTGGTTCGTGGCGTTGTTGTTCTTATGTTACACAGATGACAGCGTCCGTTCTCGATCACATGACCGTGTTTGCTGCGATCAAATTCGGGCACAATGCGATCGTTGCGATGCACACGGCGCAGCTCCTTATCGGCGGGATCAGTCAACAATGCTGTCAAGTGTGCCACAATATGCACCACATATAGACCAGAGATCAGGCCATAGAGCGGCCCCTGAATGGGCGCATGAAAGGCGGGTATCAATATCCAATAGCTGGCCAAGCCAAATAACAGTAACACGAGCCAACCGAACAGCTGCAGTGGATGCAGTGGCAGCTGGAGTCCATGTAAGCGTCGACCACGTCTATGCTGTACATCAGCTATGTTATTTTGATAGCTAATCAGTTGACAGAGGACGGAGTTTGTTGAGGGTGCAGGATTTGCAGCAACTCCGGATGCTGTTGCTGCTGCTGCTGCTGCTCCTGAGGTTGCTCCACTTGCAGTTGTTGCTGCTGCAGCTGTTATTGCTGTTGTTGTTGCTGCTGCTTGTTGTGCGTAGTGCTTAATGGGCGGCTCCTGTTGTTCGGTGAGGCTGGCAGTGCTGATGGTTATTATGTGATCCTGCTGCTGCTGCTGCTCCTGCCGCTCCTTCTGCTGCTGCTGCTGCTGCTGCTGCTTTGCTAATGGCGTCGCTTTGACAGCGTTGCGCATGTTGTTAAAGATGATGAAAATGTGTTGGATGATTGAATGATGTGAAATGTTAACAACAACTGGCACATTACAAATGTTGTTGTTGCTGTTGTTGTTGTTGCTGCTTCTGTTGCTGCCACGCCCACTCTGGCGCGTATTTATATAAGCCACATGCAATTATCCTGCGCGTTGTGCACTTCGTTCAATGTTCTCACTTTTTGTTTTGTTTACTGTTGTTTACCGTTACTTTTTGTTATGTGTGCGCGTGTTTTTGTGTGTGTGTGTGTGCAGCAATGGCGCAGTTAATAATCACGCATATAAACACGCTTACAAGGGGGTGGTGCTTATATGGTTGTCTGTTTTCATGCTGCCACCCCCATACGCAAGGACCCTATGATTTTCTTTTGTTTTATTTTATTTTTATTTTTTACTACTTTTTAACGTATTTGTTTTGGGCTAGCCACACAACACACATACACACACACACTAGGAATATGGGAGCACACAAGCTCTCACGCACATGCACACAGAGCAATCAGAATGATGAGAGCGGAGTGAAGGATAGAGTAAGAGCTATAAAGTAGCTGTAGTAGTAAAACCGAAAACGTAACGTAACGAAACGCAACGTTTGAAACGTACCAACTCGCTAGACGGACGCGAAGCAACTGAGCAATGTGATGTGCGCAAAGCTTTGCCAAAGGCTGCAATTGAAAGCACACGATGCGGCGAGGCGAAACCGAAGCCGAAAAACAGTTTGAAGTTGAAAGCGAATTGAAAGTGTGAGCTCCAAGCTTTGAGCAATTGAAAGCAGCCGATGTACATATGTATGTATGTTTGGGTGGTTGGGAGATGTCAACGATGATAGAGTCAGAGAGCGAGAGAGAAAGAGAGCGAGATGTCACAGCTGTCTGGTTGCCGGCAAAGCGTTTTTCGACTTAAAGACAGGCCAGGGACGACCGCACATTCACACATAAACTAACTATCTCGATACGAGTGTGTGTGTTTTTATGATTGTGTTGAGTATTGCTTTGAGGGTAGATTTTACAGTGTGTATGAAAGTTGGAGTGGGCGGCTGCTCATATTTTGGAGATGAGCACGTGAGTGTTAGATGTTATGGAAGTAAGTGGAAGAACGACTTATATACAATAGTTATATATTTATATTTCTTTTGAAATAAATTGTTTAGTGTTTAAGCTTAGCTTTTAAATGTTTCCAAATTAAACCTAAGGCGAGTTTACTTTGGAAAATTTATACTCTATTATGAATAGCTCATTTTTTTATAATTCCTATATTTATATACTTCTGGGTCATATACGAAATATTTAAGTACCTTGAAAACTTGAAAAAAAAAAAAACAAATGACATATTTATTGAGCACGGTGCAAGTCGCAGGCACGACTCACGATCTCAGCTCTGATTCACCTAGCAAACAGGAAGTAACTATTATATAACGGTAAATGGGTCAGGCTAGGCAAGAACTTATCACCACAGATTGGCACGCACCTATGTTATTTTTTTATATTTTCTGGTTTTTTTTGGATGCTTCATTTTTTATTTATATCAACGGCTGTCCAGGTGTGGAAAGAGGAGATGCCGTTCTGGACTGTTTGTTGAAATGGAAAGGCACAGGCGAGAGCGTATTTGGAGCACGTACACTTAGTACTTGATGTGATTTTATTTTCCATGACAGCCGTGAGTAGAATTTTCACACACAAACACACACACATAGAGAGACTTATCGACGACCCACTCACTCGAAGACTGTCAGACAGTCGAAGCTATTTGGCAAATCTTCATGCTGATGCTGAATCTCTCTGTACAACAAGCACTTATATAAGATATAGATATAAGTAGGCATGTATATATATTTGTATGTATGTAAGAAAATTGCCGTTGTTTGGCGTCTTAGGACAATTCCAAATCAAGCGAGACTAATGGCTGGACCAAATCGTAAAATTCTAATGCAAATTACCAATACAAACACACAGACACACACTGACACAAATACACAAAATTATGTATCAATAAAATAAAAAGGAAAATCAACGACAACTTTGTTTATATCATAAAAGAACTTTGTGGTATTTGAGAGCAAATCTTATATAGTATGTTGTTGTACAGTGGAATGAAATGGCTAAATAAAAGAAAAATATAAATATAGATGCTTTCTAAAACGAAACAAATTATAAATAACAAATGTTTTGTTCATTAGACAATTAATTTTGAAAAAATATTTTGTGTATATTTTTTAGGAAATATAAACAATTATATCGGCAGTCAAATTTAAAACTAAGTGCAAACACTAAAAATAAGTATAAACCATTTTGGCTTTTATTTGAGTTCAATAAAGCAAGATTATTAAATTACAAACAACAAAAATATATTTTTACTTAAACTTGATTGAATTATGGTTGAAAGAAATTGCATTTTGTGTAGTTTCCTTTTCAATGTGCACCCTAGGCAACGATAACAACAAGAACAAAGACAAGCTAGAGGGAGCGAGCGAGAGAGGGAGAGCGGTGAGCGGCACTCAGCTGAAGTGACAACAACGAAAGCTTTGATAAGCAAAAACAAGAAGAAGAAGCACCACAAACCAAACAACAGAAAACAACAATAAGCAAACAAAACGGTAAAAGTAACAAGTAAAAAGGACCAACGGAAGCTGTTAGTTTGCAGAGAGCAGACAGAGCGAGAGAGTGAAAGAGCAAGTGAAAGCTCGCAGAGTAGGCATGGCACAGTGATTCAATCCACAAAATATATTCTTAAAATAGAATTGTGTTGTACGTCACTTCAATCTTGTTTGCAATTGTATCACACAAAAAATAAAATATACTACACTGTTTAAAATAACTCTAGTATCTTTCGAATGACTTACTTTAACAATTGTGATACAACAAAATTCCATTGGTCCTAAGATTTAGCTTTTGTGCGCCGTAATTCTCTACATACATACATATTTATGTGTTTACACTATATGCAAACATGATCGATATATTGTCATTGCCGCGACGGAACAATGTGACCAGCCAAATGATGACCAAGCAGCCCAGCTATAAGACTGGGCTGCCCATTAACAGTTTACCAGGTTGGGAGTTAATACCTCTTAACTGTAAATTACCCATGCTCAAGTGTCCGGGTAATCAGGTGATATTCTCAAAGGATAAAATCGGACAAACGGTAATATCTTAATAACAAATATCTATAGAATAAAATACATTATATGCCATGGTGGATGTAGATTTATTAGATAATAATAATATATGGTTTTCCTCTTGATTCCAGTTTAAATGTAGTATGCAGGATTTCGATTCATCGGTAACAGTTCATATACCGGAATATAATCCGTTGCACGATTCAAATTTGAAGACCTTCTACTCGAACGAGCGCAATCTAAAGAGATTGCGCGAGAATGGCGAGATAACCAATGAGAATGAAGTGATATGTAACCTAAAGGATTTCAATCAATATCGTGAGGATCTGCACAAGTCCCAGCTGTACTATGTGCTGCAAGCGTATAGGCAAAGGGAAGCGGAGAGGCACGATCGCATGTTGATTGCCAATGCCGAGGGCATCTCGCGAAAGGATAACCTACAATCAAGTATTCGGCATCAGAGTCATGACGAAGTCATAGCTAGAAAGCAACAATTGGAACAGGAAAAGCACGAGAGGAAAGTAAGGATATATAATATGACGGAGGAGAAATTCAAAAAAATGGAGAACATGTTAGCTATGCAGCAGATGCTGCTCGAGCATCGCAAAATGTTGACCAATATGCGTATCCAGGCGCACATCAGTCTGCATCAGGATCTGCAGCGCAAACATTTGATCAAGCTGAAGAAGCTGTTCCAATTCAAAAAGGATCGCTATAACAAGAATATGCGTAATTTGTTCAAACAACGTGTGATCAAAAACGCCGAGGGACAAATACAATCGTGGCATAAACGCCTGAACGAACGCATTGCCAATCAACGAAGGATCGATGTGCTCCTCAGCGAGGTTCAACAGGAACGCGCCTATTTTATTGAGAGCCACAAGGAGAAATATCGCGAGAAATGGCAAAATATTCAGGAACAAATCAAACGACGCTCTCATGACAACAGGCAGCAGAAGAATTCCAAAGGACTCAAGAAAAAGACAAAGAAGAAGAGGGTAGCTGATACTATCAAAACTGTGGCGCCTTCGTTCTGTGATGAATATCAAGCTAGCTTTGAAGGTCTGCTAGATAGCGAGCTCTGCTACGCTTTGAATACAGCTATTGAGTTAGGTGGACATACCCCATTGACCTTCGACACCAATGACCCCATCTACAAGGCGGCAAAGTATATACTCAATCATATATTATACGGATTCAATGTGGATTTAAGTGAAGATCCGTGTGCCATGCACGTACTATCCGAACGCATTATGAACTTCCTATGCGATGCCAAGAAATATGTTAACTACGTAAGTTGCGACAATGAGCGTTATATAGGCCTCGTATCTTCCACCAATACTCCTTTTCATACCCCCAGAAAGCCATACAGATCATTGGCTTTGCCAATGATAACAAGGCCATGGAGCTGCCATCAACAAATGCCAAATCTGGTATGTCTAGCAAGAATCATGCACGTGTCTCCCATGTCTCGTTTAGTGGCGTTGCTAGCACCATTGGTGTCGGTAGCTATGAGATACATCCGTTTGTGGACGTGCGTCCTTGCGCGGAACGTCGACCAACACCGGCGGGCTCATTGACCTCCTTGATAGTTAACCAAATCGGGGATCAGGTCATACAGGAGAAGGTGCGCCTGCCGCACTTAAATCGCAAGGAGATCATTTTCATTGAACACTATTTGGTCAAGTTTAAGCGGGAACTGCTCGTGGGTCTCGATAAGCAGGTGTTTGCTGCAATACAATGTCATTATGAGAATCGCATTATGGAGGTGCGCGAAGAGCTGCTCGAGCTGGACAAAGACTTTTTATACAATCAAATTTCTTTGGGCATACTCAGCTACGCCGTGAACCCACTTAACTATGAGACGGCATTGATGCTGACAATAAATGTGATTGCGAATCAATGTATTTGGGGATTGCAGCAGACGCTGCTTAAACCAGGTATCGAGCCGAAGACCATGTCACATCCGATTAGCTGCGGCAGCGAGCGTGACCGAGACCAACGCGCCCTCTGCACTAGCTAGTTAACAACTCTTCCTATCTTTGTCGTATGTATTATACCATGATGGACAGAGAATCCACAGGTATGCTCTAGTGTTTGGTGCCCACAAATTTAATGTAGAAATATATGAAACTCACCGTATTTAACATATATCCTAGATGTTTCTTTCTTTCGTTATTTACCGCGTAATTGCACTTTATTTCACAAATTGTTACAAGCTCTGGTTTCTTGTAAACATTAAACAAATTGCAGCATGGCACGCAACAGCTGTGCGTTTCCCAGGGCTGCAAAAGCACTATCGGTAATTTGACAGTCACGGGAAACGTAGACAGCCGCCAGGATCGACTAATTTAAAACTACATCTAAATTTTTCGTTGAAATGTGACTCAAGATCAAATGAATAAAGAAATTGAACTAATCAATAATTATCAACATTAATTTGATTTTACACACGCTTTTGATATTTAATAGTAATTTTATGCTTATCTCTGAACAAATATACAAAAAAAAAATTGTATACAAATCTAAAACTTATTTAGGAAAATTAAACTGCGCTCCATATGGATACATCATCGGATTATATGGTGCGCCGGCAGCTAACAAGGGAAATGGATATGATGCGGCACTGGGCGGCAAGCTTTTGGACAATTGCTTGGAACTGCGTTTCCTTTTTAGCTTAGCCGCTAACTTTGCCTCAGCACTGGAATCACTTGATTCCGTTTCACTTGGATCTGGTTCTAACTCATCATCCTCGTCCTCATTGTCATCGTCGTCGTCATCATCATCATCGTCGTCGCTATGTTTTGCCTCAATTTTAATTTTCTTTTTAGGCATTTTCTTAGACTTTTTATTCACAGATCGTTTTTCCTTTTTAGACTTGGCAACTGGTGAATTTTGTAGCTGAGCAGTTGATACCTGTACAGGTGGCGCTGTCATTACACCGGCGGGAAAAGCAAAACGTTTATCCATATTGAAACTAGTCAATTGTTGCATGCTAAACTCCATGAACGCCTGCAGAGCAATGTTCAAATTCGGAGGCTGCGGGCAGTTCTTTAAGCTGTGATAGGGTGCCGAGCAATTCCTGCAGATCATCTGACACTCAAAGGAGGTGTGACCCTATATAAAGAGATCTTTAATATGGAAGAGATCATAGATATATAGACATACACCTACCTTCTTGTCGCATATGCCACACGTATGAGCCATCTTTTCCTTGCCTTTGCCTGCCTTCTGTTGTACTTTGTCCTCAGCCTCGCTGCTGGCCTCTGCTTCATCTTCGTCATTGTCATCCTCATCTGGTATTGTGTACTTACGACTAGCATTGCCCATACAAACAACATCATCTTCGTCTACGCTTTTCTTGGAAGTTTTCAGCGACTTCTGTGGGGAATCTTTGACTGATTTTTTTCCCTTGACGGGCGGCGGACTTTCATCACTAGAGTCGTCGGAGGATGAGGAAGAGGATGATGGCGATGGTTTGGCTGCCGACCCGACTTTAGCCTTTACTTTGGATGCTTCACTTTTAGCAGTTGGTGTCCCTTTAACCACCTCACCAAGTTCTAGACTTTCATTGGAGCTGCTGGAGGAGCTGTCGTCGCTGCTTTCTGCCGGTTTAGCCAGCTGCTGAATTGAAGCCTCTTTCTTTTCCTTTTTTATGTTGGCCGGAGTGATGAGTGGCGATTCAACTATAGGTGCCTTTGCTGGCGTTGTCTCTTTCACCGGCTCGAGTGCAGGTGTTGCCGCTGCTGGTGCTTCAGGAGGTGCTACAGGAGGTGGAGTGACATTGTTTTCCTTGATCTGTTGTCCATTTGTAAAGTAGAATATTTCATTGGGCACTTTATCCTTGTACCAGGGACTAGGTGCACTGCCACCGCTGCTGCGTTCATCACGCCCGGCGCCTCCACCTCCACGTCCATTCCGTCCTCTCATTCCTCCTCTGTGTCTTCTACCTCCGCCTCTGCCCCCGCCGCCGCCGCCACCGCCACCACCACCACCACCACCGGCGCTTCCGCCCCCATGATTTAGTGCATGGCGATTCTTAAATTGTGATTGTTCTGATTGTTGGTTTTGATCACGAAACTTTGAAAATGAATCGTTGTGTCCTCGACCAGGACCATCGCGGTTATAGCTATGGTGCTCGCGTCGTTTATCATTCCATTGACCATTCGACTGGTTGCCATTATTATTAAAATAATTATATCCATTAGGACCGGAATTGTTACGCCACTTGCCATCAGAACGAGTCTCCATGTTGTTGTGCATTTAAGAACCCTACGCTCAAAAAACTATTCGGACCGCTGCACGTGTTAAATAAGTATCGATGCTCTGCAAGTTAATTGTCAGTAACGATAATGTATGCTTAATATCGATATTTGAGTCCTATTCGATTATAATTAACAAATAAACAAAGTTATTAAGCAGACAAGTGTCAAAGGACAAAAAAGAAAGAAATTAGTTAGGTCTTATTCATCTGAATATTGAAATTTGATTCCAAAGCAAATAAAATTGTTGCTCAAAATCATGTCTTTTTTTTCAAAAAGCGTATTAATCGATAGAAGTAGCTTAAACATTTACTTGTATCGAGAACCATTTATTAACGTTGTTTACATTGTACAATCTTGACCAAAATGTTTAACTCCGATTTTAAAAAACTGCAACGGAAATCAAATAAATTTAAACAAACCGTGTCTGAACGCTCTAAAAATTGGGGCAAGAGAAAGTTTACGCCGAAAGCATTTGGACGCTCCGAACCTGCGCCAATGGAAGAGGAGGCCAAACCATGGCAACATGTGAAAAACGATATTTTAGAGGATGAGCACGAACAACAAAGCGCCGATCGCTTTAATATGCAAAGCCAAAGCGCCAAAGAAATATTAAAGCAACGTGAACGAAATCATCGTCGCAATGTAATAGAGACAAGTCGTAACGAAAAACCGAAATGGGAAACGTTTGATGATAAAGAAACTACAAACAAATCAAGAAATAATATTGTCGAAAATATTACAAGAGATCCCACGAATATGTCCTTCAAAGAACGCAATTACCTGCGTCGGAAATTAACAAAAGCTGTGATTGCAGAGAAGTCGGGCACACTGAAATCCGCCATAAACGACATGAAACGGAATCCAATAACTAACAATAAATTTAGAAAATAATCCTTTTTTTTTAGTTTTGTTTGAAATGAGAAAAATGTACAATACACAACATAAGTACACTACACACTTTATATAAATCATCTTACAAATTAGAAAGGAGTATAATGTGAAATGGGGTCTGCAAAATAAATATATATATGTATGTAAACTAAATAGTATGCGATGTCCTCTCCTCGATCTTTCCACTCAACCATTTGCATTTGCCAATTTCGAAATTAGCTGATTGTATTTACTATTTGAAGTAATGTTCTTTTTGGAGTTGCGCACCTGTTCCGGCGTATGTTGTAAAAAATAGATGACAATAAATTCGAGTGTTTGATTGGCTTCCTTGGGGTACATCATGTTAAAGGTATAATAGTAGCAGATCAATTGGGCAATTATATCTGGTATGTCAGCATCTGTGGCTGGAAACGTGCTCATTATTTGTCCCTCAATGTAGATCATTGCATCAGTATGGGCAGGCTCATCGCCAACAGCTATGGGCGTATCTAATCGAGAGAATACATATTAATAAAATCTTACTCTTTGATTGGGTATCGAAAATACTTACTGACTAGTGCCACCCAAGGCGCATTGGTTGGATTAATGTGCTGGAGCACATCTTTAGGCAAGGGTCCATGATCATATTGCTTGAATATATAGTCGGGATCCTCATTGAAATGGTATGCCAGCCCACGCACCATATTCGCATTATTCTCCTCCAACGCGTTCACTTTCTTGTTTTTTGACATTTTAAAGAATTTGAACAATCTTTCCTTTTCGCTGGCAAAACGTTTCTCTAATAAACGAGGATCAATCGACATGAGCAACTCAAAATGCTGATAGAGCAGTGGCTTATTAAAGATATATGGCCAATTATCTTTGATGGCCGTAATGTCTGGTATCTTTTCGCTATTATTGAAGAAGGCTCGTTGCAGCGGAAAGCATTCCTTCATATAGTCGTCTATGGTAGCAGGCTCGAGTTTGGCAGCGCCTCGATAACTGGCTATCATCAAATCTCTTTTCTTTTCCTGATCACGATTCAATGCCAATGATTTGGCGTTGCCATTGGATGCCACTGCTGCCGCGCTACCATTGCCCGATTTGCGTTTTTTGCTGCTGCTGCTGTTACTGCTGGTAATGTGTAGATCAGTTGTGTTCGAGTTGGCTCGTTTTTGTGGACGATTTAGCGCATTATTACGATTAATCATTTTTGAGATTAGCGACTGTGGCGTCGTGGCAATTTGTTGGCCCTCCCGATCCTTTTCCAGCAATGAATCGGGATACTTTTCAGCCGCCTGCTGTGCGACTTCTCGAAATACAAGTATAGGTATGTGTGAGCAGCGTTCGCGCAGCGCATCGACCAAAAGATTGGCCAACGTATTCAGATGCTTGCCCAAGCTTGTTTTGCCGCGTAACAATGTCATAATATCATTTGGTACCTTACTCCAAGGTATCGAAAATTCCTTAAACGGCGCGGTAGATAATTTTGAATTGTTTGGCGTAACGCTGGCCAGCGATAGAGTCTCATCATTCGACACTGTCGAGTCATTGGCATTTGATACAAAACTGGGATCCAATGAACTGCCCGCACGCTCTGAACGATTCAGAGGCGAGGGCGGAGGTAGTATAACATATTCATCGCTTTCCGCAAGCAGCATTAACAATATCTTCTCCTTGGCGGCAAAGAGCAGGACTTCATCTTCACAAATCTCGCAGCCATTGCTTTCCAGTACTATGGTACTTCCAGCTAAGCCGTATTTGTGTGCTAGGGAAAAAGCATAAAAAATAATTGTAAACAAATAATTATTAATTATGAACAATAGCTTACCTTTTTCAATAACATCCTTTCTACTGGGTAAGGACATGAATGTCTTTTTAATTTTACGATCGGCATTGCATATTGTTATTAAAACCATTTCACTGTTCATTTCCGATTTCAATTTCGTTTTTTGCGCCTCGAGCACTTTTCCAGTGTCAACGTTGGAATGCATTTCTGTGTGTGACAGAAACAACAATAATAAACAAATTGGAGTTGTGTGTATGTGTGTGTTGATTGTGTACACACTCTCATATATACTACTTACCGGAGCCTGTGGCTGTTCCCGTCGCTGTTTCAGATTTTTTTGCTGCTGTTTGTACACCATTTTCGTTTGGCGCAGCGGCCGCCGGGGCCGGGGGTTGTGGCTGTGGCTTTGCCTCGTTTGCAGCATGCGGCGCTACAGCTGGAGCGGCATCCATGGCTAGTAATTATTATTAAACACCAAAATGCACACACAGCTTTCAATTTCAAATCGAGGCTTCTTCTTTTCTTTTTTTGTATAATGCCCGTGTATAAATTTGCACAAGCCAAACTGTGGCCAGGGATGTAATAAAACGCCACACATCGATAACTTTACCGCGACTTTGGCCGCTGTTAATCGATAATCGATAGCTGAGCAACGTAGTGGGTGGTCTGCGGCAATTGCAATCAAACGCTCATTTGTTGCTTTCCTCTGTTCGCGGCGCGTTTATTTTTTATTTTGACTTCTGGCATTTATTTTTGAATTAAATACTTTGTAAATTTAAGTAAAACAAACGCAATATTTAACGAGAATTGGTAACGCGAGCACAAAAACGAAGCCAAAATGCGCTGATTGCGAGATTCTGTTTGGTAGGCCAAACAAGGCGCGACCGTCTGGACATTAATATTCATAAAAGGCTGCCTAAATATATATATTATAAGTTAAATATACTGCTTGCAAGAAATATAAAATGCGGTCGTAAGTATGCAAATGGTGTCACAGCCAATTACAACATATATTTATATTTTGTTGTATATATACACACATGTATATATATACATATATATATGGACATTGAAATCTACGTTTGTTTTGTTTTGGCTAGGAACAGTTTCACTATCTGTTGCATTTTGCTGTCCAGCTGGCTGTCTGGCAGTTTGGGTAGCTTTGGTGCCACTAAGTTGAACACAGGTACAACTACAGTTAGCTCCATCGATTTGGAGCCCATCAATGGCACCATGAATTATCGGTTGTATGGCAAGAAGGGCAAGGACGATAAGCCCTGGTTTGATGACCTCGACAGTCGCCATATACAGTGTGTGCGTCGTGGACGCTGCCTGGAAGTCAATGGAACGCATAATACATGCTTCGGCTCCAAGCTTCCCTATGCACTCACAAGCCTCAGCTTGACTGATTATCGTAAGGAAAAGGAGTTGAACGAAGCTTTGGGTAGTTATTACGCCTTACGACATGTACCAAAATGCTGGGCAGTTATACAGGTATGAGCAGTCGAAATTTACCTGAATTATGCACATATGAAAACTATTGTTCCGCCTTTACAGCCATTTTTATGCGCCGTTTTCAAACCGAAATGCGAGGAAATTAATGGCCAAGATATGGTCTACCTGCCTTCATACGAAATGTGCCGGATTACCCTTGAGCCATGCCGTGTGCTGTATAATACAACATTTTTCCCAAAATTTATGCGCTGCAACGAAACGCTATTTCCCATGAAATGCAGCAATGATGCGAGAGAAATGAAATTCAATGTAACGGGCAAATGTTTGACGCCTCTCGTGCCGGCTGATAATGCAGCGAGCTATTATCCTGGCATTGAAGGCTGTGGCGTGCAATGCAAGGATCCTTTGTACACGGATGATGAACATCGTCAGATACATAAGCTTATAGGGTATGGAGGCACGCTCTGTCTGCTCTCGAATCTGTTTGTGGTTGCCACGTTTCTCATCGACTGGCAGAATGCCAACAAATATCCAGCTGTGATTGTATTCTATATTAATCTATGCTTTCTCATCTCCTGCGTCGGGTGAGTCGAGTCAAAGCAAATCTCCATTATATAAGCTAATTTGCATTTCCTTCCAGTTGGCTGGTGCAATTTACTTCTGGCTCTCGCGAGGATATTGTCTGTAGAAAGGATGGCACATTGCGTCACTCGGAGCCTACAGCTGGCGAGAATCTCTCTTGCGTTGTAATCTTTGTGCTGGTCTATTATTTTCTAACCGCCTGCATGGTTTGGTTTGTCTTTCTCACGTACGCTTGGCATTGGCGTGCCATGGGCCATGTCCAAGATCGCATCGACAAAAAGGGCTCATATTTCCATTTGGTTGCCTGGTCGCTGCCTTTGGTGCTCACCATTACCACAATGGCCCTCAGCGAAGTCGATGGCAATGGCATTGTGGGCATTTGTTTTGTTGGCTATATCAATCATTCGATGCGAGCTGGCCTGCTTCTGGGTCCACTCTGTGGCGTCATCCTAATTGGTGGATATTTCATTACGCGCGGTATGATTATGTTGTTTGGTCTCAAACACTTTGCCAACGATATAAAGTCAACGTCAGCGAGCAACAAAATCCATTTAATTATTATGCGCATGGGAGTTTGCGCTTTGTTAACATTGATTTTCATACTAGTTGCAATTGCATGTCATCTAACTGAATTTCGACATTCGACTGAATGGGCAGAGAGCTTTAGGGAGTATATTATGTGAGTGGTTCAACAAACTATATCGTATTTTAAACTAATTATCCTAATGTCTTCTTTCAGTTGTCGCATCAGTTCTGTTTTTGACGAGAATAGCGCTTGCAAGATTGAGAATCGTCCAAGTGTGGGCATTTTACAGCTGCATTTGCTTTGTTTGTTTAGCTCTGGCATACTTATGTCCACCTGGTGCTGGACGCCATCCTCCATAGAGACCTGGAAACGCTATGTTAAAAAGTGAGTAGCATTTGAGACATTTTGTTGTGTAACATAATAAATTATTCTTTATTTTCCTGTGCTAGAAAGTGCGGCAAGGAGGTTGTCGAGGAGGTCAAAATGCCGAAACATAAGGTCATTGCCCAAACTTGGGCCAAGCGCAAGGATTTTGAGGACAAGGGTAGACTCTCTATAACGCTCTACAATACGCACACCGATCCAGTTGGCTTAAATTTTGATGTAAATGACTTAAACTCATCGGAAACGAATGAGATCAGCTCCACCTGGGTGCATTATTTACCACAGTGTGTTAAACGTCGCATGGCTTTGACTGGAGTCACAGCTGGCAATACGAACTCCTCCAGTCAGGGTCATCAGGGCGGGCGCAAAAACTCACTGGACTCGGAGATAAGTGTCAGCGTGCGACATGTTTCTGTTGAATCACGGCGCAATTCTGTGGACTCTCAAGTCTCTGTCAAGATAGCTGAGATGAAGACAAAGGTGGCATCGCGCAGCCGGCAGCATAGCAAACATGGTTACTCAAGTAGCAGCAATAAGCGTACGCAACGACGTCGAGATTTTATAGCGGCCACCAATGGACGTGGACGTGGACGGCGCGAGAGCAGCACCTCGGTAGAGTCACAGGTGATTGCTCTGAAGAAGACCACCTATCCGAATGCTAGTCACAAGGTGGGCATGTTTGCCCACAGCACCAAAAAGCACAACAGTAGCAGACGACGCAATGCGGGACTGGATCCGAGCATCATCAACGATTTTATACAAAAGAATGGGCAGTTTATATTGCCATTTCTACAGAATCAGGGCATGACCACCTCATCAGATGAGGAGGAGAATTCGCGTGCCTCATTCAAGATACAAGATCTCAATGTGGTTGTCAAGCAGGAAGAGGAGGACGACGACGACGACGGACCCAAAATTCAAGAGCTGCCCAACAATGGCAATAGCACCAAGGCGTTGGAGCACTTCCTGAAGCACATGCAAAAGTCCAACGAATCCAATTGCAATGGCAATAGGAATTCGCGCAATTCGCAACGCAGCCGCAAGTCACGTAAGGAGCACAACAAATCACATCGCGAATTGGAATTGGATGTCGATTCGAATAGCGATTTTAAGCAGAACTATGCTAGACAGCTGGCCGCAGCTCTGGATGTCAATGGCGACTCGCTGAGCTGTTCCTCTGTGGAGCTGGACATACCACTCGGCCTGGGATTGGGTAGCATGCTACATAGTTCCTACTCAGGCAAATCAAATTCTCGCAATAGCAAAACCAGCTGTGATGTAGGCATACAAGCGAATCCCTTTGAGATAGCCAATCATACGCTGCCCACCTATGGCAACGATGAACTGCAGCAGGCAATGCGGTTGCTCAATGCAGCGAGCCGGCAACGCAACGAGCTCAACTGCAACGACGATGCAACCGAAATGCAAACGCTGCTCAATCCGCGACACCATCATGGCCACCACCACCATCATCATCAGAAGGAAGCAACTCTGTTGAGTGAATCGGATAAACTTAAAATGTTGCTGCTGCCATCCAAGTAGAGCAACAAAACGAAATGCATTTACTTAAGTTTCTATAAACAAAAAAACAGAATCTTCCATAATTTTACGAATACTCATAGCAATTAAGTTTACAAGCTTCAAATTTTACAGAAACACAACACACAATGCATGTGCTATGTATAATGACTGTTTCCTTAAACTAGTTCATAGTTTTATATAGTTTTTATATATATCTATATCTATATGTATGTTGTTTTAAATGTACAAAACGTCGCCCCTTTTGGGACAGCGCACACAACGAAAGCGAACGAAAGTGTATTACAAAGTGCCTAAAAAAGTTTATATTTAAACATTTTGTAACTAATAAAACGATTTTAAATCCAAATACAAATAATTTATTTTAGTTTGAATTATCTTAGAGTTGGATATAGCTGCAACAGGAGACTTACTTTGGACACGTGGGGAAATGATTGAATTTAAAATTTCTATGCATCTATTTTCTTGTATCTAGAAGTGAATTAAACATAAATTAAATATCGAACTTTGACGCTTACATAAGTGCATAGAGAAGACCAGAAATTCAAATCAATCTATTTTACTTTTGAACTAAGTGGACTAAGCTAACTCAAATATTTCACTACAATTTTAATCATTTAATTTTAATTCAAAAATTTAATGCTTGCCTTTTGTACTTTTTTTTATTTTCAAATTAAAATATTTTTATAAATAAAAATATTTTAATAAATTTAAAATTTTTAAAATTAAAAATATTTAAAAAAATTAAATTTTTTTTTATAAATAGTAAGGATTAAAATCAAACTCAAAACCAATTGTGTAGTAGGGTATTACATTGTCGACTAGCCAGAATAATATGTTCTATGAATTAATTCAGCCTAGCTCACATTTCCATTGATATTATATGGATTGTCTAAGTAAGGCAGCCGATGTGTCAAGAATATTAATAACAATAATAATTCAAAATATATAAATAAAAACCAAATGAAATACAATTTTTTCCTGCTTTGACTGTAGATTTTGGATGGAGTTTATTATTTGTTTATATATAGATAAAAGACGCCCCGCTGGGTTATATATATAGCATACGAAACTGTAAACAAACCGTCGCTATGCTTGACTATAAAATATAAAACAAAAAATTTAGCTGACTTAGATACATTGGAAAGGTTAATTAATAGCCTCTGGACTTGCTTGAGCTCAAACTTGTACAGCAGGTAGCTTAAACATCGTGGGGTCAGTTTTGTTACAGGTAAGAAATTACCTGTGAGCACGACTAGAACGGTTTTTTTTCAGAAGTCACACTTGGTTGTGAATTGAAGACACATCTGCTGCGGAAGAAGGCAAAGCAAAGTTGTTGAGAAGCTGGAAATTTCATCTGGAAGGTTAACAACAGGTTGTTTATATTCCAGTAAACACACGCATATGCACACACACACGCGTGCATATGGAGTTCATATAATTGTAGTGTAGCGATCATAACAGAGCAGTAAGCAGCTGTTCATCACGTACCAGGGCTGCATTGCGAGCTTTTTTTGTGTTGGGTGTGGTGGATCGCCCACGCAGCATCCAACAACAATTGCGTTGCAATTTGGTAATTGATTTACTCTAATTTCAACTGATATTAAGGCGCCAAAATTTGAATATATGTAAAAGAGCGTTTCAAAAATCAAGTTAAATTGTTTTTATTTAAAATGACACTAGAATTAAAATTTACAATTTAACGCAGATAAGTTTTAAGTTGTTTGTTTTGCTGTGCTTTTGCATTTGCATTTGATATGAATTATTAGGCAATAAATTAATGATGCTCATCTAATACAATTTAAACAACGCATACTCGAACTTGCAATTTGCAAAAGTGCAATCTAATACTTGAAACGCTATTTAGCCAATTTACTAAAGAGTTCGTGTGTGGCATTAGATAACAACAATTTAATTAAGTTCTCAATTCGTGTAAAATTTATTATTTGTTATCTTTTTATTGACTATTTGAGGGGATTTTTAAAGACATACACAGCCTAGTTGGATTTGCGCTGCGAGAGTTTCACCTCCTTGGCCCAAACCACATTGTTGATGAACTCTCCGAGCAGATACAGAGCAAAGGTGAAGCCGAGCACAGCAACAAAGAATACAATACGCTGTGGCAACTGCAGGACTTCTAAAACAGGATACACCCAAACATTGGAGTAGTGCTTGATAATATGGATCCAGACTAGATAGCTGCCCATAAAGATGGCCAGACCAGTTAAGCCCTTGGCGCGTGATGGATAAGCACGATATGACGTAAACATCTCCAGGACAATGAAGACAACAATATTTGTATGCAAAACATGATTGAGCCAGCTGTAAAAGGATATGCAAAAGTATTAATTTGCATTCATGCATAAGTAGACAAATTTATGCCACTCACCTTGGGAACACAGGATCCAACACCTTGGGGAAAACTAGCTCACGATCGATAGCATAGAGAGTCCAGAATGTTATGCCCACATTCAGGGCTACTGGAAAAGCCAGTGTAGACAGCAGCCAATCCTTGAATTGGCGTATAGCGGGCGCTCGCCTTGGAACCAGCTCATTTGTGCCCACAAAATCATTAACGAGGGAGACAATGTAATACAGTGCTTGTATTATCTGTAAGTGCAAAGAGATACGCAAGTTATTCAGATAGCTCAAAAGGGGGTTGATTAGCTGTCAATTGAAGTGGAATAAAGTATAAACTGCTAAATCACTGAAGCTTGACAACAACAGAAAAACCCAAACCGGTTACCCTTACGTGTTTAGATTCAAATTGGCCTAAATGAGCTTTAATAGCCGCTAGTTAGAATTTTTTGTACGCTTACCGCATCCAAAAATGTAAGATATTTGAACTTTCCACCGAAGGGATGATAGATTAATTTTGAATTGGGATTTGTTTGTGTTGGAAACTCAACGTATTTATAATCATAATATATTCCATAAGTGAACTGTACGGCTGCTGTTAAATGCAGCAGTGTGCGCAACGCGCCAAAAACACTTTTGAACAGCGAGTTCGTAGCAGCAGTGCTTGTGGCCATTTTTATTTAGTTATATGTTCTTTTGTTGCAAATAATTGATTTTTCACAGCCGCAAGAACAACAGCCGGCAAGCAAAAAAACTACACTGAAGACGGTTGCGTTGTTGTGTGACCGTGGCGCCCATAAAATGAAAAGCTATCGATACTTTACAAGGATTTTAGTATCGATTTTTGGCTAAAATTGTGCGCTTGGGCACATTTTTTAGATCTTGGCTCTTTAAACTAAACCAAACTTAACAATAGACAGTATCATATATAAAACAAACAACATCGTTATAATTTATTGATAATTAATAATCATTATTCATTATCAACTAAAAAAATTAAATATAATATAATAAATGAATGTAAAAATCTGTTATATGTTATCTATGCTTAGAATACAAAGCAGTGTTCGTTGCTATCAATTTTACAATAGGTTAAAAACTTTAATGTCATGATGACACACCGTTTGTGATGAGAGTTATAGTAGAATAGATTACTTATATATTATTAGCATCATTTTAGAAATTTTATTATGAAAAGTTTTTTAATCTATTTTTTTTTTAAATTAACAGAAGGCGAATCGAGCGAAAAATGCATATCGCTCGAACCATCAGCATTTGCACTTACCGCACAGAGAAATGTTAAGAATTTAAATTGCCCACCAAATGTAATAGAATTTGGTAGATCTAGAGTATGTAAATAGTAGATGGCATAGTTAAATTGAAAGGCAGCCATTAAATGTAAAAGAAGTTGCAAAGCACGATAAAAAACAAAGAACGCGGAACGTTCATTCTTGGACTTGGATCTTGCCATGCTTAACACACAAAAGTTCACAATCTACTGATTAGTTGGCAGGTGAAAAGCAAGCGTATTGACTGACTGACTATACATATATATATGTATTTATTTTAAATTCAAACATTAAATTTCAATTCATGCTATGTGGGTGACTGATAACGTTTCTTATCAGCGGGACAATTCAATCTTATTGAGAGTAAGTTCAGTTAATCAGTGATATAAATACATAAATTTGTATGTACGTTATATATATTTACGATTTTGACTTGCAGCACATAAAAGACGTTTTAGACGTTTAGATCGTTTTTTTTAATTTAACAAACTGCACTGCACAGCAAAGCTGTTAGCTACAAAACTAATAAAACGATATCGAATACAACCAGGGCTGCAATGGCACTCACCGCACATATAAAGGTCAAGAATTTGAATTTGCCAGCGTAGGGATGAAAAGCTGATCTTGGCAATTCCAAATTGTAAAAATAGTAGACACCATAGTTGAATTGTATCACTGCCGTAGTATGCAGAAGTAATTGTACAGCACGATTGAAACCTGGCGACGTGGAGCCCTTGTTCTTAGACTTGTATCTTGCCATGTTTAACACACCAAACTCAACAACATACTGATTAGCTGGCTGAATCTTGCAAACGCAAGTAACAATCTAAGTGTATATTTTATATATACAAATGTGCAATTGTTCATGTACACATGAACGACCCGCTGATAACAACGCTTATCAGTGGAGCAATAAAAACAAAATCGTGTTCAGAGAGAACGTTTAAGCGTAGCAAACTTTGAGTGAAAATTAAATTTACTTTCACCTCTACAGTAGATGAGAGACCACTCGAAGTTTGTTTCATGTTTATAAGTGGGAAGGGGGTGCTATATATAGATGTGTCTAGCTGCATAAGAGCCATTGAATATGTTGTCGCCGCAACTAATGCGAACTATCGATTGAATTGCGAGCTTCGTTTGAAAGCCGCGTGAAGGTCAAGGGACAAGCCCAAGCGATGTGACGCACCACTAACACATGCATCTAATCGCTATCCATTATTCAGATGAGCAGTAATCGATATTTATATTTATATTTGTGGTAATCGCTAACACAATTATGCTTTCAACAGAAATTTCTGAAGTAAATAATTGCACTAAAATTCTATTATTTCAAATTATAAATATTCATAGATAGTAAATTTGATCGTTTAGTATTTATATTTATTTATTAAATTAGATTTCTAGAAATCTGTTATAATTTTCGATAGATATTTATAAAATAGAAATATCTTTTGCTATCATGATTAAGATTTCATATTTATATTCTCTGTCATTCCTTGGTTTCCGCCTCGTCTTCACTTTCGCCGTCAGAGGACTCCAAATTGATTTCTGTTAGCTCCTGCTCCTCCACGCTGCAGCTGTCCAATTGCCCAGTTTCTACCTTGGCTGACATTGCAGTTGTCTCCGGCTGCTCTTCAATGGCTGCCACCTGCTCGGCTTGCTCGAACATGGGATTATTGAAAGCGCGCTCACGCACCTCTTCGCTCTCCGCATCATAGCCAATGACAGCCAGGCGTTCTACTGCACTGCCAGCTGCTCCTCCCACTCCCATTCCAGCTGCCGCATTATCAAATCGATTGAAGAGCAAATTCTGCGGCAAACGCAAATCCAGGTGATGCCAGCGCCAACGTCTGGGATTGTGTATCCATTGTGGTATGCGATTCAGATACGGGTTCTGCGGCATAAAGTGAGCGAGCATAATCAAAGAGACGACGCCCACTAGCACCACACAGAAGAGTATGAGCAGCACCGAGGCAAAGCTCACATTGGGATTGTATGGATGGCCAGAATAGAAGAGTTTCAGATTTTTCTGTTGAGCCAGAAATTTGCTTTGATTCCGTTGCGCCGCGAAACGTTTCATAAACTCCACGCTGCGCTCGCTGTAGCCACGTCGATCCACGACAATCGCCTGCAGAGCATTGCCAAACGCACTCGAGCCGACATAGTTCACATGCAACTGCAACTCATCCTGCAGCTGCTCCTTGGCCATAAAACTATCGATAAGAGTGATCAAGCTCTTGCGATCCTCCTCCACGCAATGCTCGCTATTCACATGCAACATCGCGCCACAGACCAAACAGCAGCCGTCGTTTGTACGCAGTGGAGAGACGCAATGTGGCACTTCGCATTGAGGCTCCACGTGGGAACAGACAAGTTCCAGCAAATGCTCGTAGTCCTTGTGACAGCCACATAGTTCACCTCTATAGTACTCCACAAACACATTCTGGGCATTATGGAAGAGCAATTGACCCAAATCTCTGCTGAGCAGCTCCTGCAGATAGTTGCGGGAAATGGAGGAGCCCGCTAGGATGAGCTGGCCCAAACGTAGAAACTGCACATTCTCCAAGTCAAAAGAGAGCGCACCACTGTTTCCACTAATCACCACATGCTCATCGTCGCAGGGCACACGGTCCAAGTCAAAGTAGCTATCGATGGCCGAGCTGGAGGTGGAGGCACTGCTGCTGCTGCTGCTGGGCTGCCCACGCCAGCTGCTCGGATCAAACCACTTGCTCGTCTTGGCTGGCTTCAAGTAGGCGCGTCTCTCACTGCTGCCACAAGCACTATTCAAGCCTGTGCCCAATCCCAGTTCTATGGTAGCATCCTCTGCCAGCAGCAGACCGCCCAAGCGAGGCAGCACAAATCCGCCCACGGCCAGCTGCTTGGGCAATGGCAACACAGCTGGATAATAGCTGGGAAAGACAACCAAGTCCTGTGCACAGGGCAAATAATCATCCAGCCAGGCATTGGCATTATCGAATGCGGCACCAACACTGTGCCACTTGATGTTGGTCGTCTCCGCCTCCAGCGCGAGCAAAGCGAACAGCGCTACAAAAATCCATTGCAACATTTCGACTGTCGGGCAAATTGTAGACTAAAGAACGACAATATGGGATGATGCTATGGCAGAGCTGCCCCAGTTTTGGGGGCGTTACTTCAGCTTAAACACAAGCCACAGCAAACACTTACACTGGCCAACAAGAGTTGAGCTGGGGCTGAATTAGTTAACACTAAGACAATATCATATCATAGTTTTGACTTTAATATTACAATTTTAAATTTTAAAAATATAGATTACGCCTCCACTGCGAAGCTCTTCAATCTACTATGACAGACATGTTGAAAGATTGTCCCAAGTGTGAGAGATCTAGGAGATGTTCAAGTATATGCGCTGAATTCTAAAGCCAATATCTCAGCAATAAATCAAGATAAGAAAAAAATTTGAAAACCTTTTGTAGAGCAGGAGTAGTTGATGGAGTACTAGAGTAAAGTAGGGTAAAGCTATATAAAAAATCTTTTTGTTGCAGCACAGCAAACCAAATGATGTTAGCCAGTATTGTCAATCAAACAGCTTGCCAATCAATCAGTCAATGCATCAATTGGCCAATCTATTTGACTGAACACATTAAGTTAGAAAACAACCCTATAAAAATCTAAACAAATTTTCAACAAATTTCTATTTCACATTTTTCAATTCGAGGCGAAAACGAACTAAAAATGTTGGGGCATTAAAGAAATTTTAAACATTTCGACTTTTAGCTGTGCAACTAAGTAAATTGATTTAGCTTTTTATGAATTGTCAAAAATATCTTTTGTTTAAAATAAATTTCTAGAAATTAAGCTAGAAAGAGGGAGAGAGAGAGGTAGAGAAAGGGAGAGGGTGAAGGGTAAAAGGCTCTATGAACGGTTTAAGTTAAATTCAAACAACAATTACTTAATGACAAATAAATATTTTATAAACAATTTTAAAAATGTTTTGCAGCTTAACTTGTATGATATATAATGTCTAACTCTAAATTTTAGAATAGCAAAATTCTTAATATGATTTGAGGGCTCAGTGCAGCTTCTTTTTTATTGGCTCACAGAGAGGCTAAACTAAATGAAATGCTATATTCAATAAGGAATCTGACTAATATATGTACATTGATTTTACAAATACAGTTCTTGAAAATAATATTTGGGTAGTTCAAAAATTTGTCGGTCAACCAAATCATTTTGTTCTAGCTTTAAATCTGTAGATGATTTTCAATAAATTTTCTCAAGTAATAAATTGCTCAAAGTCAGCGAAGGAGACGAACGTGTGGCCATATATATGCAAATATTCAATACACACGTGAATATATCTATATAACTATGCATATATCTACACTATTGTATAGCTGCTCTGCTACACAGTCGTACTGCCTGGCATAGTTGATTCTTTTGTATCACAATGCATTTGTATTTGAGCAAAGCTGAGGGGAACAGCGTTTATTTTCATTCAGAGATAAACAATCGAAGTAAAGAAGAGGAAGAAGCATTTGGTATGCCAAAACAATAGCAAAAAAACCGGATGGTAATGGTGCGTGTGCATGATCCGGCTATGCGAGGTGCCATGGGTTCCACATGAAAGCCATTTGCCAAAAACAAAAACAAAAACAAATGGCAAAAAAATAAATCCAAACCCAAAACCAAATCCACGTGCAGAGCTATCTGTGAATAGATGGAAAGCACTTTTTTCTCGTTTGTTTTTGTTTCTTTTTTTATTTTTTTTTTTTTTACTGAAGATCAAAGAATTTATTGAGATTATAAATCAAGGGCGCGCAAGGTCGAAAAAAATTAAAGATAAGCCTTAAAAAAATGTAAGAAAAGTTTTTTATTTAGAAAATACTTGAACTTAAGTAGCGTAGAAGATGTTTGCTTTATAGATAGAAGAACTAAGCCATATAAAGACTATACTAAAAATATTATGCAGTTTGAGCAAGAAAATATAAAGAAAAGAGCTGAGCAGATTGGTTAAAGTAGATTAACTTTGATGCATTTATGTCATGGATTACCCATTGAGTAGATTTTTACTGCTATATTCTTACACTCAAGCAGTTGGTGAATTAGTCGAACAATCATTAACTCAACTCATTCACTCACTTAATTCGAGTGGGGATGAATCTGTAAGAGCAAGTCAATCAATAGCTTAATCAGTCAGGTAGTCATAAAATCTGTCAATTAGAGATGATCACTCAGAGTTGCTGTCCATTCACTCAATCAGTCATGAAGTATTGCAATCAGTAACTCACTTAGTACATCAGCAAGTGACACAGTCAGGAAGGGGTAGCTAAAGTCGGGACAAATCTAACAATCCGTCAAGCAAGTAAGCTATAGCTCAATCAAACAGAGATCAACCCATTCAGTAACTATCAATCAAGCTGTCAAGCAGAGAATCAATCACTGATCATTCTATTAGGCCAGCAGTCAATCGCTGCTTGAATTCTATCAATCAATAACTCAACCAAAGATCAATTGTTCATCGCAATTACACTGTGCTTAATTAGGTTTACTTGCCTGTGAAATTCAGTAGTCAATTTAATAGTAAATGCGATAAGTCAATCATAGCCAAAGCATCAATCATACAGCAGAATATCTAAATGATATTATCTAAGCTTCATGATTTATTCGTTTTCATTCGCCAAGTGCTCTGTGAAAATTCCAATCGATGATCGAATCGAATGCTCAAAATATTTTACGACATGTAAATGAGTTGCGCCCAGCCACAGCTCTCCCAATCCGCTGCGGGGCATATTTAAGATAATCTGGCATCTATCAACGCCAATAAAATCGGCCACGAAGATGCTGGCGGCCTTTTGTTTGTGGTCCAATTTGATATGTGGCCAGCTTTACAATTCAATAAAATTAAAAAAAAATCTTTTGCTCTCTGTGTTTTTACGGAAATTTCGCGCAATGAAAATAAATATTGCAAATTCTTTGCGAGTGTATGCGTGTGTGTGTTGCTGTGTAACACTTTGCAGCGACAACAACTGAATGGCTGGATAATGGAATGAATGCCATTTAAAATGTATCCGTAAGATACGTTCATGGAAAATATATCTGCAAGATACACCAACTGCCCCGTCCCAAATTGCATCCAGTTGTTGACCCCTCAGCACGAGAGATGATTAAAAAAGAACAGAAAAAATAAAACGAAATCGACACAGCAGGCAAATAAACAAACATATGGCAGACATAAATGGGAGACAATAATAAAAATCTGATTATACCCTGTAAACATTTACGAACGATCAACAAGGGCAATTGGAATGTTGGCTATCATATAGATTCGATTGACCTATATTTGCTAGATTGTTATGTTATCGATAAATATCGATGTTGGAATGAGGCAATCGACAATGAATTTTCGCAGAGGCTTTCTTATTAAAAATGTTGCCTCAAATTTTGTTGGTGTAATATAATACTTGTTTATATCGATAAATATCGATTTTAAAAGGAGTACAAAAACATGAGGTCTGCAAGTATTAAAAGTAGTAGTAGTAGAATGTTGGCTATCATATAGATTCGATTGACCTATATTTGCTAGATTGTTATGTTATCGATAAATATCGATGTTGGAATGAGGCAATCGACAATGAATTTTCGCAGAGGCTTTCTTATTAAAAATGTTGCCTCAAATTTTGTCGGTGTAATATATTTGTTTATATCGATAATTATCGATTTTAAAAGAAGAACAAAAACATGATGTCTGCATGTATTGAAAGTAGTAGACCACATCATTAATAAAATTTTTGCATATTTTACTAGCTTATACTATTTGCCTGATATCGATAAATATCGATTTTAAAATATCAACAAGGTTATAAATGTCTGAGTGTGTATGGTTAGCATGTGCGGCAATTTATTGCATTTGTTAAGTTTTCCAGATATCGATAAAAATCGATATTACTGGGAAATGAGACAACCATAGTAGCTAGTTACAGGGTGTGCTCTAGTGGTATGCTTTCTGCTCCTGCAGTTCTACTTGTTTCTTGTATAATTGAATTGTGGAACACACTTGAAACGAATTGCGGCTGTGGTCGTCGTATTTCCGTCATTTTATAATGACCACGATTTATATATGTGTATAGCATATGATATATATATATATATATATTTATATATATATTCTCCTTATTATATATATTGATCTTGTACTCTTCAACTTACCAGCGACCAATAGCTGAGAAATCTCAGTTTCTGTGGAAAAGTTTCCGGCACCAAGCGACGACTGAAGCTCGTCTTTAATTTATAGCTACGTTGCACCTCAAAGCTGCTGTAATAGAGTCCATAGGCAAATTGTCCCAGCGCACACAGATGAATGATTGTCACAAAGACACGCGATTTATAAAGCTCCACTTTGGTCATCTTGTATAGCTCTAAATCTATAGTATATATGGGACTTTACTTTAGCTAAGAACTAGTTTAATTCGGTTAAATATTGGCAAAATCTTCAATTTTTCGTAACTTGAATGAAAAATAAATATGAAAATTAGAAAAGAATTTTAGCCGAAAGTGCCCGACTAGATAATGTGATTTATGTGACCTATGAGTGATTCTCACTCCAGAGAGAAGAGATGAAATCGAATTGTTATCGATCAACTGAATCTACTATGACTTAAGTTACATATAATTTTCTTGGATAAAAGCTCTAAAGTATTAAGTTCCCAGAGGCATTTAGACAAGCGAATACACAGATATAAGGACAGATACATCCTTCTCAACAATATAAGTGCTCTACCACGCTTCCTATTATCTGTCACATACAGAGCAGTTAAAGCATTATACCCTGTTAACCCATATTTTCAAGATAAAAAAAAACTAAACAAATAAAGCCAAGGTGGACAAAGGTGTCGCAAAAGCTTTAAGTCTTGGCATTAGGTTTCTTAAAGCTTGAAATCAATATTTGACATAAATATTTAAAAAAGATAAAGACAGAGAAGAACAGCTAAAAACTCGGACTGGCCTAAAGTCTAAAAAAAAAAACTGAAATTTCAAAATGCATAAACAAATGCTGAGCAAGCCACATAAATTTATGAGAATTTGCCTTTCGATGTTTATAATTTTTACATATGTTAATAAGTTAATGGATTTTATGGCTAGTTGTTGATTGCTTCAATTGTTTGAATTTCGAAACAAATCTTTTTGCGCACACGACGGACAACACGTAAATTTTGATTTTTTATATAGTTCACTTTTTTAATCTATTTTTTTTTATATTTTTTTTTGCTGTTTTTTTTTGTTACGCGCAGAGAACTGAGCGTATGGAAAACTGGAGTCGCACTGGATGTTGCTCATACGCCGCATTGGCTCGATGTTGCTTTTACTTTCGTTCACACACGCACACACATACACATTTGTACTTGTGCTGTTGCTTCGCATTGCGTGCAACTGATGCGCATGTCCAAAACTTGTACATATTTCAGTTGCGTTACTAGTGGCAACAGTTCAACATTTGTTTGGCCAAACATAACAGTTATAGGGTAGCTATGCATGGACTAAACAAACAAACCCATACGCAATACTGCGTCAAAAAATTCATTTTGCCCACAGATAACAGCTTGTGTAAACAAGCATTTAAATCGATATAAAAGTTCGCGCCTTTTGTGCTATCGTTATCGCACATTGTTATCAAATAAGCTGTTTTATGCTGCAGCCCTCGTGCTTTGTTATGTCTATCGACCATTCTGAGCAGGATTTTATTATTTACTGAATGAATTGTTATTTGTTAAAAGAATCAAAAAAGTATATAGAAATATATAAAAATAAGCCGCAGTACTTCTATTAAGAGAGTGTTTCAAGAAGTTGCCTTACAATATATAACACTGGCGGCATTTCTTCATTTCTCCCAGTTTCTCGAGGAGTTGTGATGCTTCAAAAAGTCATGTCGTAACAATCGCTAAGACATATTAAAGTAAATCCGTATCAAAATTAAACAGCCCATTATCAAACATATCAATCAGAAGCAATGTCGTTAGCATCAAAAGTGACATTAGGCTTAGCGGTCTGCGTTTCAACAGCCATTATAGGATATGTTCACTATAAACAGTCGGACGACCGGCAAGTGTACAAAATTCTTCAATGAAATTAAGTATTAATCGAAATACATTTACAGTAACAAACTGCATGAGGGTGTGTTACGTGACGTAGAGCAGCAACAACGACGCAAACACGAAAACCGTTACGCACTGCAGCAACAAATCGACATGACCAAACAGTTAAAAGCAGCGCGAGAAACGGAGACGAAGAAAAGTTCGGATGTACTGGATACACACACAACGTAAACGCTGGAGGCACCGGAATCAGATTCAAAGCTTTCGTGACTTGTGCTACAGCAGCCAATATAAGAAGCGCGCCAAATCTAGCTCTAAATGTACCCACGCAGTTTTAAGCTGAAGACTTGATTTACACGACGTTCACACAATGTCTGTTTTCTCTTTCTTTTTCTATATAATCTTTATAATTATTACTCAATTTTATTATTACGAATGTGTGTATAAGTAATTACAATTCTAATGGGCGCTCGATAAAATAATTCACATCGTGTCACGGTTGGTTTGTACATATGTGGTGGACACCCCTTACTAAATCATAAAAAAACAAAAAGAGACTTTGCAGAGCTGCGAAATACACGATAGTTGGCGTTCTTTTGTCCGTTTTTTTCTCACATTGCCACCAATAATGTAGTTGATAGATAGTCCGAAGTCCAAACAATTTTTTGGACCATTAATATCGACCGCCACCCCCTCCTCCTCCGCCGCCACCACTTCCTCCTCCTTTACGTCTATCTCGATCGTTGCCATCACGATCGTTATTACGGTCGCCTCGATCCGTGCCACCTCCAATACCACGTTCACCGCCACGATCCGTGCCGCCAACAATGCCGCGCTCGCCGCCACGGTCAGTGCCGCCGCCGATGCCACGATCTTCGCGTCGACGGCGCGGCGACCGGCTTCGTGATCGTCGCCGCGGTCCACCGGAACGAGAACGGGAACGCGAACGATTGCGTCGCCGACGCGAATAAAGGTACCTCCGCAACTCTCTAGAGATGGGCTTCAAGTGCATAAAATTGCAAAAGCCGGAACGTGTGCATTCACCCATTTCGTACTGTCTGCAGCAGGCCTCACGGAAATCGGTAACCGGCGACAATTCCGAATAAACCGGTCGTCCGCCAAACCAACGATTGTTCAAATCATTTGCCGCCTTTTCGGCGTCGGCCTCATTACGGAATTTGATGTACACATTGCCAACTAAATGGTCTCCCAGATTATCGCAAACGTTCATCTCTTCAATTTCTCCGTACTTGTCCTCGCACTCGACGAAAACATCCTCAAAGAAATTATCGTAATGCTCCTGCATCTCCTCGTCGGAGACGTTCGCTACCAAATGTGAGCCGTCCGCCGATTTCGCTGAATTTTGAGGATTTACGTAGAGATTTTGCAGCAGCACCGTTTGCGAAAATGTCGGCTTATTGTGTATGCGTGAACAGCGATCGCCATGCCGGCACGCTCCGATTTTAAAGTAAAACGAGCAGTTGACTCTGCAATATGTAAATAGTTTGTTATTTATATGCCGGAAAAGGTACAGAAGGAGCAAATAGAGAGCATGCGGATTTATATATTTTTCTTCTTTCTTTTTATTACTTACTTGTCCTTTTCTGTGCCAAAAATAGATGCCAAATATTCGGCCATTACGTTGCTACAGTATTGAGCTGCTGTTTAAAACGATTAGCCTTTCTTGCGTGCCGTTTGCAGCGAAGTTCGTTCAATGCCGTATTTTGTATATATTTTGACAAATTTCTAACATAAAGTTTTCCAGGCGCACGCAAAAAGCAGCGTCTGTCGTATTTTGCGACAGCGTTGCCAGCTTCAAAATAAATTCAAGTAAGCTGTTCGGCGCTGCCAACTGACTTATCAACGGACATTGAACAACAAGCAACTCAATGAAAAATATTTCATATATATATGTATATATTTCTTTATATATTTATTTTTGGTACCTTTGTGACCACAAACATAAAACAATTTCAAACAATAATTTCTTAATTAATATTTTTTTTATATGTTTGTACCAAACTACGATCTGGCAGCGCGCGACCTGTTACGGAGAGTGTTGGCAACGTTCCGCATCTGACATTTGCGTGTGCGAGAGCACGAGAGCAGAGCGAGGCACGACTCATGCATTTCTAGAAAAATCCGACAGCGGCATTTTTTGCATTTTTCACAAGCTCACAACTTTGTGTGGTCACTAGCGTGTTTTTAGGAGCATTAAAGACTTTAATCAGTAAAGCAGGCGATCTTAATAGCAAAAATGGATAAGGTACGTTTTAAAATAGTAAGCAAGCAAGTAAAATGATTCTCATCTGCGAACGTTTTGCTCTGCGTTCAATTGCAGGTGAACGAACTGAAGGAAAAGGGCAACACAGCGCTAAATGCCGAGAAGTTTGATGAGGCGATTGCTGCATATACAGAAGCCATTGCGCTGGACGCCAAAAATCATGTTCTTTACAGTAACCGATCGGCCGCCTACTCCAAGGCTGGAAGATTTAAAGAAGCTCTCGAAGACGCTGAGAAGACGATTTCTTTGAATCCCAGCTGGCCCAAAGGTTATTCACGCAAAGGTGTTGCGGCCGCTGGTCTACGAGACTATATGCAGGCCCTGGAAGCCTACAACGAGGGTAAGTTGTGTTACATATGCCTATTTACTTTGACCTCTTCCAAACATAACCTCACTTGTGTCTTTGTGTGCTCCTCAACCAGGTTTGAAGTACGATCCACATAATGCGATTCTTTTGCAAGGCTGCCAGGAGTTCACTGCATCTGTGTTGAATATGATGCGTTCACGAACCGATATACCAATGGACGTTGATCCACAATCGGGCACCTCTAGTTTTGAAAGGAAATCGCAGCCGTCCAAAGCATATGAGCCCCCAAAGCCCGCTGAGCCGCGAGTGGAGGATATGAGCGAGGATGAGCGTAAAAAGTACTTTGCCAAAAAGGAAAAAGAACTAGGCAATGCCGCTTATAAGAAGAAAGATTTTGAAACCGCTCTCATTCATTATAATGCCGCCATCGAGCACGATCCGACTGATATCACGTTTCATAACAATATTGCGGCTGTATATTTTGAACGAAAGGAATACGAAGAATGCATCAAGCAGTGTGAGAAGGGCATCGAGGTGGGACGCGAAAATCGTGCTGATTTTAAGCTAATTGCGAAATCTTTGGCACGTATCGGCAACACCTATCGCAAACTGGAAAACTATAAGCAAGCTAAATTCTACTATGAAAAGGCCATGTCTGAGCATCGTACACCGGAGATAAAGACCTCGCTCAGCGAAGTTGAGGCCAAAATCAAGGAGGAAGAGCGACGCGCATATATTGATCCAGCTAAGGCTGAAGAGGAGAAGGAAAAGGGCAATGAGTACTTCAAGAAAGGAGACTACAGCAGTGCTGTTAAACATTATTCGGAGGCCATTAAGCGTAATCCGGATGATCCCAAATTGTATAGCAATCGAGCTGCGTGCTATACAAAGTTGGCTGCATTCGATTTGGGACTGAAGGATTGTGATACATGCATTAAGCTTGATGAGAAATTCATCAAGGGTTATATACGAAAGGGCAAGATTCTGCAAGTAAGTGTATTTTAATTAAATAAATTAGGTTTATCAAATGTATACTTATTGTATTTCTTAATTATTTCAACAGGGCATGCAACAGACCTCCAAGGCTTCAACGGCGTATCAAAAGGCTCTGGAATTGGATCCAAATAATGCTGAAGCAATCGATGGTTATCGTCAATGTTCAATGAATTTCCAACGTAATCCGCAAGAGGTGCTCAAGAATGCCATGTCGGATCCGGAAATACAGCAAATTCTCAAGGATCCGGCTATGCGCATGATACTTGAACAGATGCAGAACGATCCAAATGCTGTTAAAGAGTAAGTTTTTTACATTTAAAAAGTCGATTATTCTTAAAAATGAACTATTTCTCCTTTTTCAGACATTTACAAAATCCAGCCATTGCCGACAAGATAATGAAGCTGCTGGAATCGGGCATTATACAAATACATTAGATTAAACAATTGAAAAAATATAGACAGCAAAGAAAAAAACATTAAGGAGGATATATATATAAAACAAAACAATATGCATAACAAATTACAAATAATGCCCTGCCACAAAAAAACTAAATAACATGTTGAACCTTAAAATATATTTCTAAAGTAAGAAATTATCTTAATTATCACCGCAATCGCAGACATGACTATAAACTACACTAAAGCAGACATCAAAAAACTATTTGAAACCCAATTTGAATGCAAAAATATTCACTTTTGTTTTAGAATATATATACATTTATATATCTGCTTAGTTGATTTACGCAGATGCTGCTCTGGTTCTTTTTTCATACTCCATAAACTTGCTGTAGCTTAGATACCTAAACAAACAAGTTTTTGAATGTAAAATAAAATACAAGTCAAGGAATGGTAACTGTATGTTAGAATATCTCCATGTTATGAAGCTTCCTAATTCGTAATTTTTTACAATTCCACGTGCTGCACCCCTATTAAAGTATATGCATATAGACAGCAAACAAAAACGGTACGTTCCAAAGTAAATAATAATTTTTTCAAACTGAAAAATAACGTCTTTTACTATTATCAAAAAGAGATTTCTGTGGATCAAGTTACGATAGTCTAACTGAACAACATATTCAACAGTCGGAACTAAACATACATTTATATTTGTTTTTCTCTGTTATTATTTAATTTCGTTGGGCAATTAAATGAAAGTTTAATTTTTAACATACATTTATTAAATTGTATGTAGAAGACCCTTAATAACTCCAAATATGCCTACAAAATATACTAAATTAGGAAATGTGGTCTGTAGTCCGCAAGTCTTGCGGTATTTTTTAGTGAGTTTCACCAAAAGTGTTGAAAAGCGTAAAATTGCCGCAACATGCTATTCAGTGCCAGTGCCAAGCAGTGTTGAGGACGATTTCTTCCACAAAAAAAAGAAATGGTGTGCTGATTGTGATTTCAATATAATAAATAATAAGAAAATACAAGTAATACAAAAATACAAATTAAAACGATTTGATTACAACGAATAAGAAGAAAAGTGAAGGCCTTTTTTAACTACCGATTCCTGCACGCTATTAATTGTTTTAACTATAGTTTATATGTATATTTTGTGTGCATGTGTGAATTCGATTGTGTGCGTGTATGTGTACAAGTGTGTGTTTGCCTGCGAGTTTCTCAGTTGATTCGCGAAATTGAGAATAGAAAGATGGTGCTCGCTAAATTGTAAGCGTGAAATAAGTAATATATATAAATATACCAAAAAAAAAATACACCTTTTTGGGCAACAAGAAATCTCCAATTAATAGTGGGCAACAAACGAAAAATCAAAAGTGAGTATAGAAGAAAAACAACAACAAAAAAGGGCTGATGCCTAACGTATTCGCTTTTCAAATGCGTTTCGGGGGCGCTTGGCAACAAGCAAAAGCCGCTACGCGCACACATGCATACAAATACAAGCATGTAATACTTGTACATGTGTGGAAGTGTATGTGTGTGTTGATTTTAAGCAAACTAAAATATGATTTCGCCCTACCCCAATTTTGTATGTGTTTTCGCTTTTTATTTAATTTTTTTAGTGCATCCCTCGCCGCTGCACTATTCAACGATGAGGCCACAGGCGCCGGCGTCTATGGTAAGAGATACAAAAAAGGATGAACTGCGGTCAGCTCCGTGGTACTGGGGCAACATAACGCGCGAACAAGCTAAAAACAAATTATTTGGTCAACCGGATGGAAGTTTTCTAGTGCGCGATGCGCAAGCAAAGGTAACTAATTAAAACAAATTGAAAGTATATTAATAAAATATTAACATAAATATAATTTATGCTTTTTGCAGAAGGGCGAATATACGTTGACTCTGATGAAGGATGGAAACGAGAAGCTTATTAAAATTTGCCAAATCAATGACAATTATGGGTTTGTTGAAAAGTTTCAATTCAGCTCAGTGGTTGAAATGATCAATCATTATATGACCAATTCACTGAAAATGTACAACAAAACGCTCGATATAACGCTCAGTAATCCGATCGTTTGTCCCTTTTACGACGATGCACAACCACAAGGTGATTTACGCTTATTAAGCGATGCATTCGTGCGATGCTCCCAATTGCTGTTGCAACAGGAGCAGGCGCTTGATCAAAAGAAGACCTCATTTAATGCCATACGCGAAGAGCTAGCTGAAAAAAAGCTGCATCAAAGTGTTTTTGGCAATGCGGAGAATATGTTTCGCAATCAAATCGCATCGATAGAATCGTTCATGAGTAAACCACCTGTAAATACAACAGGCAGTGGAACAGGAACTGGCGGTGCGGGCAGTGCGCAATGTTCGCGGCAAGACGTGCAACATCATATGCGCGAAAATTTGTTAAGGATGAAAGCACACCTGGAGGTGATGCATACGAAAATGGAGCTACTCAATCAGGATATTAAGATACGCAAAGAGGAGGAGCAGTTGCTTGAACGTCAAATAAATGCCAGCAAACCGGAGCTACAGGAATTGCAATTATGCAAGGACAAACACATTGAGTAAGTGCATATAGCTGACGTCATACACGTACATATATATAAATATAAGCATTATACAAATATATATATATATATAAATATATATTTATATGTATATATATATATATATATATATATATATATATATATATATATATATATATATATATATCTACATATATCATACGACTGCGTCAGCGAAATAGACAAATAAAAAATAACTGCAGCTGAACAGGCCAAGCGGTTTAGTCAGTCACTCCACCACTCGTTCATTACATGCTCAACGAGCTATATATATATACAGAATATATATATATATATATATATATATATATATATTTCTATATTATATTTGCCGAATGCATTTTATGCCAGGCAAGGAATTTTAATGCTTCAGGGTTCTGGCTCATTTTTCACGCGGCTCGCTTGTTGTTGGCCATTTGACTGCCTTCTTCTTCAGCTGTTTGGAGCTGCATTTGACTTTGCGTTTGCCTTTGCCTTGCCGTTTTTGACCGATAATAATAGAAAATGTAGCCCGTCGCTCGTCTGGTTTCGGCTTGCAAATTCGCCACGCTGACTGGGCTACGTGCTGCCCGCATGTAATATATACGCTATATAGTATACATCGAGCATTTGCCTTCGCCCCAACACCCCACTCCCCAGCCGTTCCTTCGTCGGCCGGTAACTGCAAGAAATGTTCCTCCATAAAGCCAGTGACAATGCTTGATAAGCAGTTGAGGCAGGTAACAAGACAATGCATTGTCTGAATGCGATATATTATAAACGATAAACGATATGATATACGATATTCTATATATAAATGTACAATGGAAGCTTTCTTGGCGCTCGTGCAAGTTAGCTGTTAGGCGGAACCCTCAGGTTTCGCTATGCCTTAAGCTTACTTCTTGAAACATAGTTTCCTTCATTTCTGAATATTACCTGAAAAAGCTATTCACAAATAGATTGTAGACAAGCCACTGTCCAATTAGGATATATGATAAACGATATTCTCTTTATAAATATCTACAAAGACTATCTGTTAGGCAGAACTCTCTGCTTTAGCTACGCCGCATGCTTAGCCAAGAAACTCAATTTCCTTCCTTCGTGACAACTATTCACAAATAGTTATAATATCAGTAACAATAATTTTTATACCACTTCATTAGGATAATATTGTATAGAATCATAGAAATAGCTTAAGAATATATTGTATGTACTTCAATATTCCCGAAACAAAAATCAAAATAGAAAAACTTTTCTATTTTTATCATGAACATTCTTGATAAAAGCATTTAAGCATTTAGCACATAGTTTTTATATCTATATGCACAGGTAAACATTAGACAATCGTTTAATATTATAAGAGATATATTATTTGTAGATATATTAGAGTAAATGACTTAATTGCTAAGGTTTAGTTATATATAGCGAAGGCTTCATTTATATACAAATTCAAATCAGATAACAAAAGAAATTCGCATTAGCTACCAAGAGAAATTGCTCACAAGTGAATTAAGTAGAAGCATTTAAATGCTTTATAGCTCTCAATCAGTAATCTATATAGTCTACAGCATACACAGATGAGAGTCTGTTCTCAAGCTCAGCTCTCGCTTAATCCTAACTTTAACTTAAAGCTCATGTCATTCATTGAGCTAATCGTACGTACTGTTATGTGCGCTTCGTCATCGATGATAATAATGATAATGCTGATTATGACGTTGATGATAACGTTAATTGGCGAAACCTTGAACCACATTAGAACTTTGACTCAACTGCATATGTATATTTATAAGTATATTTGATACATTTTAGCAACAGTTTGTCTACGACTTTATCTACGCGTAGATTAAATCTTTTTTATTATTTGTTAAGAACCAAAAATACCCTGAAAGCTTTCCATTTTATCAGTCTTACGACACATCTGTTCCCTAACTGCTTGGGAATTATACATTTATCGCTGCCTAGGGGTGTATAGATATATATTAAGTCAGTAAAGCCAGCTTATTCAAGTGATCCCTAGATATTGAGAAATTCCTTATATTGACGGCCCAGTTACGTATAGATTATTATATAGAATACCTGTCTATATATATATATATATATATATATATATATATATATATATATATATATATTTATAATCAAGAGAGCGAAACAAATTTGGTTAGTATATATACTAGCTGACTCGCTGATTCATTACAGTTAGTTATATAAACTTGTCTATGTAATTTGACATTTTCTTGCTTAAATTGTAATCAGCTGGATCGTATTACTATATTATATAAGACATTTACAGGCTAACATACCATAAAACCAAACTTGCAGGAAGTGGAAGGGAATAGAACTTTGGGAAACAGAAACAGACAAAAGAAGGTTATTATGCCTAGTTAGTTTATTATGAAAATGTGTCCATATAAATATTGATACATAGATTTATCTTTATATATAGATATCTATCGTAGTTTCAAATGAATTCTTTTTGCCAAAGATAATAGTTTTTTTGTTATTCATACATTATCTTTATGTCTGGAACTTTACAATTTTGGCAGTAGTACCTGAACATCTGTCTCTTATCTCATAGTCGGGAATCTTACAAGTTTTTCGTGTACTTTTTTTATTTTGTAGTCTAGTAACTAAGGCTTATATATCGTAGCACTTATCTGAAGGAGCGAAGCGCCTAGCAACTAAATATAATATATATATTTCTGTCTATGTCATATTCTAAGCATTTGTCACTGCTAATTGTTGCGGAAAGGCGGCTATGGTTAAACTATAATTCGACTCTGCATACATACATATATATATTTATATATATATCTATATATGTATATATGTATATATGTATACATGTATATGTCCCTCTAGTTGTCTCTATTGGCTTGTTGCGCATTGTAGCAGATAAGGCACTATATCGTTATCTTTTGCTGACGAGCATTTTTTGTTTGCCAAGTGCTAAAAAAACGTTGTTCTCCTTCGCTTTTTCTCAGCTAACACTTATACACACACACACACACACACACACGTGTGTATAGCTATATATATTATATATTCGCAAACCTTTACTTTGTTGAATGTCTTTATTTTGATTAAGATTAGAAAGAAACGAATTCTCTGGACTGGCATACATGCGAGCAGGCATGTAGTTTGCCTTCTTTTCTGATTGCTAAGGTTTCAGTCTATGAGGAGTATCTCACTCTCTCTGTATCTCTCCTGGGTTCCAAATTCTTCATTTCATTCGCGTCACAATTCCCTGTACAGAGGCCTAGGTCATACCTTGAGATGACAAACAGCAATTCGCTATCATCACATAGTACGCTAAACCCAGATAAGACACATTAGCGAAGGTCGTCAAAAAGTCTGAGGGATCCTTTAAAAGTCCCATTAGTTTCGACGTATTCGTACACTTTTAGAAATTCATTTATAGAATATTCTAAATTTATGAACAAACTTTTATTTTTAGTTTCCCTTTTGTTCTTTAAGCAAAACAGCAAAAGCAATAAAAAACACGTGCAAGATATTAGCTGTTGCTATAGAAGAATTATCTGAAATTAGCTATATTTCCGTTCGAAGAGTTATTAGACGTTCGTATTTATATGTATAATATGACAGAGTACTCCGATAACTTAATCGAAACATCTTATACGGAAATAAGCCGTAAAACTAGAAATTAAATTTAAGATAATAGCTCAAATAGAAATATATATATGTCTGTCACACGTCTAAAACAAATAAATGCTGAATTAATGAATGAAAATGTTGAAAGCTGAATATATCCATTTAAATCTAGCGCCTTTCAGTTAACAGGATTTTTAGACAAAAACTCCTTCGTCAAAAAAAGTACCTAATTTCCTTTGTACAAACTTTTTGAGTACATTTTAGCTAATTTCCTTAGCTTAAAACAAAAAGTACCAAATTTCCCTAAGTTACAATAAATGCAAAGTGTTTTATGTAATTTGAGCTCTTATATGAAAATCTTATAATTACATAACATAAAATATATATTTATTGTTACATAACATGGCAATGCTTACGTTCTTAACTTTAATTAGCTAATAAGTAACTTGCCTTATTTTCCAAAACAGTTTAGCTGACTACAGCACTAAATCAAATTTATTGCCTTTCTTTGAGTACATTACTTGCATAAGATTTGCATTTAAATTAAGCGCCACTTACTTTTGGGGATATTTACATAAAAATTCCTTAGTGGAAAAGAAAAGGGATTTATAATTTAAATTTCCTTAGGCAAAAATAAAAGGTACTAGGTACTTAGAGCTAATACTAGAAAAGGATCAACAGGCAGAATAACGCCATTTCAATTGACTTATTAATATTTATTCGGTATATATATTTTATTATTTATTTATTCATATGTTTTAGCTATATATATAAGCGCAAATTACTTTGTTTTAAATATTTCATGATAAAATTAAATACAAGAACATTCAATTTGTATTACTAATCATTTAAAATGAAATCGCGCACAACTTTCGCTAGTTATATTTATATATATAAGCGTATGATGATAAGAACAAAGAACATTAGGCAATATGCGTTCGTTGTCTTAGGCTTAAAAAAAGTTAATTATATTTGTAAATCTATATATTATAGAGAGGGTGACATCATTGGGAGCAATTGTGATAAGAATCAATGAGATTAAAAATATACATTTATCTATTATATATGTACAGAAGTCATAAAATATTGTCTTTTGGCCATTTGATTCATATCGAAGTAGACAGTTGGTCTCGCCAGTTAATTTGTTGCTAAAGATTATGTCGTTATTTCAATTTTGCAGGCGCCTGAAAGGGTTTGGCTTAACCGACGACGATTTGAATGTTATTTTGGAGAAGGGCTTCGACGAGCTGCAGCAGAATTATGAGAAAGCATCGAATCTACCGCATCGCAACGAATCACTGTGGCTAATTAAGGATGCCAAGCGACACGATGCCGAGGAGCTGCTCACTGGAGCGCCCACGGGCACATTCCTGATACGAGCTCGAGATGCGGGCCATTACGCTCTATCTATTGTCTGCAAATCGGATATACATCATTGTATTATCTATGAGACGGAAAGCGGGCTGGGCTTTGCGGCGCCCTACAACATCTATCCCACGCTGAAAAAGTTGGTCGAGCACTATGCCAGCAATTCGCTGGAGGAGCACAATGACAAGCTGACCACTGTGTTGCGCATACCAGTGCTATATTGGATGCAAAACAAGCAACACTTAATGGAACAGCTGCAGGAGGAGCTGGAACTGGAGAAGGAGCAGGAACGCCTGGCCCAAGAGGCGGCACTAATGCCACCCCCGCTGCCACCAACGGCAGCGGCAAGTAGTGCACCAATACCGACAACCAGATCAAGGGAACATCATGGCCATGATTCAGTCGATGCAGCATTTAGTATTGAAACAGATACGCCGCCAGCTTCCATATCGCCATCAAATTTTAGTACATCGCAATAGGCAACACACACACGAGTACACAGTCTCCCACACACACACTGTCCAAGCCAATGGCTAGCTAACTCTCATAGGTATCCAGACCTGCAGGCCCCCAAATATGTATATCTCTCTTAACTATTATAATTAAAAGTGTCGTTCATACAGTTCCAAACTGTTGCGACTGCAACTGCAAAGCGAAAAACAAGTAATTTGGTGATTCATGTTGATGTTCAAATATCTCTGTATATATATATATATATACTATATATATGTAACTATGTACGTATTTTTTCATTGTTTTGCATTTTGCTTGATTACAAGTGATACAAAAAGAAGAAAAAGGTCAAGCCAATTGCTATGTGAATTTTTTGGTATTCAAGCCACAATCAATATATATATATATATATATATATATATATAAACTTAAATTAAGAAGCTATAAATATATATATATGTATGTATATGTATATATATATACTATATATTGGTTTTTATCTCGCACGCTGCGCGTTATCGAGTCATAAATGCCAATTGAAAAGATATAAAAATCAACTTTAAATACAAGTTCTTTGTAAATAACATATATATATATATATATATGTATATATATTTATATATACATACATATATACATCTATATAAACATAGCTTCATTTTGAAAATTGTTTGAATTGTTTTGAGCTGCATTTTGATAATACAGCTGCTAAAACAAAAACAGTTCGAACACCAAATTATTTGTTGTTAAAAGAGTCTTAAATGATTTTGAATTAGTTTTTAAGTACAATTTATGAAATACGTACGTTTATGCGTGATCAGAGATCAGTGATCAGTGATCAGTGATCAGTTGTCTTGTGAACCAAGCTTGTAGTTCTACAACAATTTTTGTTTGTTTCTATTTTTTACAACATTAAGTTTAATGTTTCGAAATACCTTAAAAGCAAAACAATTACACACACACATACACGAACACACACACACACAGCAACAGCAACAAGAAGTGCAATTGGCAAAACGAAAACAAAAAACAAAAAAGAAACACCAAAACTTTTTACGTTTGTTAAAAATTTATGCTCCATAAAAAAAAGACAAAAAAAAAACAAGAAAAAAATATGGAATCTGCTGCAATATGCAAAAAAACAAAAGAAGCTTCAGTTCAGTTCAGTTCAGTTCAGTTCAGTTTAGTTTAGTTAATAAATTAAACAAATTATATATGCCCACCTGCTAAGCGTTTTTTATATGCTCCTCTTCGAAAAAGCCTAACTGAAAACGAACTAACATAATATTTGATATGTTTTGTGCAATTTGTGTTTGTTTAAAGAGCAACAAGAAAATATTAATAATCATTATGGAAATATGATAAAAAGTGTCAGCAAAAGGCAAACAGTAAACAGTTTTCGCTACAAATTTCCCTTTTTATACACCAACACACACATTAACAACAACACTCAATGTTTTTTTTTATAATTTCTGTAATGTTAATGTTAATCTTAATTTAATATCTATATCTTGTAATATCATCTATAATTTCATGTGTTTATACTATATATATCTATACTATTTAGCTCTATATATAAATATTTTTTTATTTTCTATTTGCTATGAGATTTCGTTGGATCTCGTACGTTTTGTAGTATTTTATAAGTTTTAAACATTTAGTGTGTAAAAGAAAAGAAAAATATGCGAAAAAAAAACAACAAAAGTTGCACATTTTTTGAGTTTTGTTTATGAATTTTTTTTTTTCAGCCATACTTAAATGAATGAGAAACAAAACAAATATATGTATATGACGATATATGATTGATGATAACAAATTAAAAATTTGTTATATTTTTTATATGATATATATATAATAATATATATATATATGTAGTTAGATATGTGTATATGCTATATGTTGTAGTTCGTAAGCGCTAACCTGCCACAAATTGGTTCAAAAAAAAAGCAAAAAATGTTTTTTGTAGTAGTTTTTAAAGAAGTGAAAAACTGGAAACTAAAAACTGAAAAAATTAAAAATATTTGTATCTATTTGTATTTTGTGTCTAAAAACAAACAAAAACAAAAAGAATGTTCGTAAATAACAAAAGTGAAAATAAAATGAAACAAGAAGTAAAAGAAAAGATATATATATATATATATAAATATATATATATGTATATTGATGATGATGATGTTGAAGAAAACAAAAAGAACACTTGATTTTACTTTTGGTTGGGTTTCTGTTTTCAATGGAAGCGTTCGCCCCGAACACTTTTCTGCTGAGCTGGTTGAAATGTGACACGAACTCAGGGAATACACTGGAAATCACGCGCCCCGCTCTACTCAGCGAATGGCAAACGATTTGGCAGCAAACGGGCACACGAGATCAGCTCATGATACGGCGTGGTCCAACATCAAAAATATAATAATTATAAGTCCAAAGGAATGTCCGCGATAAAATGATTGGGGCGTCAATTTCAATGCCTGTTGGGACCTTGGACTTGCGTAAGTTTATTTTTATGCGGGAAAGTGCCCAAGGAATATGAGCTGTTATGCAATAAAGTTATAAGTTATCGTTAAATTAGAATGCAATTTTTTGTTGCAAGTAGACATCGCTTGGCTTATTTCCCACAGCGAATCCAACAGAATATCCGCAATATTCAAATTTAGCGTCTTTCATTTTTGAGGACATTTCTACAAAAGTCCTTAGACCTAAGCTAATTTCCCTGGTTAGCAGCGGTCATTATATGTATTGGGCACTATTCCAAAATCAAATTTATGATATTTATGTCGAAGGTCCTTAGCAAAACACAAAGTACTATATATTCCTAATATAAATTGGCATGTACGTTTTTGAATATTTACTTTAAAATGCATCATATTGCATTTTTAGTTTCTTCGTTCAATGTGTTAATTGCTACAACTTTTATGTTATCCAAAAATGTAGCTCAAGATGCGTAAAAAAAAGCTGAAAGTCATAAATTTCAGCTTTTAAAGTCATAAACAGTAAAAGTCCTTGGCTTAAAGCAACAAGTTAAAAATATCCCTTGTACAAGTACGTGCAGTTTAGTACCTTTTTTGTCTTTTTTTGGACGGGTGCCACCATTGACAAAGAGTGTAGTGCTGATTTTATTAACCAATTAAGATTGATACGTACGATATATACAATTAAAATTCAACTTCAATACTTAAGAAATTCATTAACCGCAATTGTCATAAATCCCACTAATCCCACTAAATATCCATTGATGAAAAGTCAACAGTAATTAAATTTCCCTAATAAAACTTTGATATGCAAATGTTTAACACAAAAAGTTTATTTAAATAGCTAAATGATTTATACGATTTATGCATGTATACTAGTTAACAAGCACATATACATATATTATTTATACACACATCTACATATATATATATATATATATATATATATATATATATATATATATATATAAATATATGCAAATATACATGTGCATATCTAAAAATTTTTACGCAGTAGTTGATCTTTGAAAGTCAGGTTAACATTAAAGAAAAAAGTTCTTTTAAATAGTATTAAGTAATATTTGCGCGTGTTTGTCAAATATTTTTAGAAATATCTGATGAGTAATAGCGCAAAATTACAATTTTCAACATGTAAAATAAAAATAACACGCTTAAAAGTATGCTACGTTTTTAATCCCGCACAATTGTCAGGGCTGCACAGTCAAAGCAAGCAATAAGCAGCAAAAAAAGGCACGTCAAACTTTTGCCGCAAACATAAAGTACACACATATACTTATGTATGTGTGCCTATACATATGTAAAAATGTGCTCATTACTAAGCAAATAGTTTATAGCACTTTTTTTGAATAAAAACTTATGCGCAATACACGAGGCGTTGGTTTGTTTTTGTTTAAATCCCAAGCGCCTCGCCGCCAACAACAAAATGCGTGTTGCGGCGAATGCTGAGGGGGCGAATTGCGCTAACTGCGCAGTTGTTTAAAAATCTATTTTTTGCCGGGCTGCTGGTTGCTTAAGCGCGAGTGTGTGTGTGTGTGTATGATTGCATGTTAATACATATGTATGTATGAATGAGTGTGTGTGTATATGTGTGTGTTGTGTATGTTGGCACAGACAGAATGTGGGTTATGAGCCACTGCCACGCGCATAGTTTGAGAGGCGCAGCAAAAAACTTGTTGTTATTGTTCTTGTTTACTGTTTAAATAATAGGCGGCGCCTCGACCAACATGTGCCGGCCGGCATTTGGTATTTCCAGCAGTTCAACAAACCCCAAATAATAAAAATATATTAACAAAAAATGTCTCAAGGTGAATCGCAAGAATTTGCAACAAACATTTCTTATCATTGATGAAGTCGATTAATTGAAAATCCTTTCAAGGTTCAACAGCTGATAAAGTCATCTAAGGCCATTGTTAAATTTTAAATTTTTAATACTTTTTAGTATTATTTACTGTTTATTGCAATTGTTTTTATAAATACTTAAATACGTAGTCAATGTGACTTAAAATTAATAAAAACTAACTAAAAATGTTCTATACAAACAATTGATGAGAATAGCTAAATATCAGTATTAATTACTTGATAATACGAGACTAAAGGTAGTTAACTAATAATGAGTTTTGGCAGTAGCTGCTTGGAATTGGGTTGCTCGACTCCACATGGAGACTTTTACAGATCCAGATGGAACTGTTCCTGTTCCTCAATTTTCAGCGATTGCGTTGTCTTAACCAAGTCGGTGGGTATGGGCACACACTTGCGGAAGGGAGTGCGGGGAGTGCCGCGCATCAGGCAGCTGGGAATATTGCTGGGCGGAGTTTGACTCAAGGGGGAACCACGCAGATTCTTCATGAAAGCCCGTTCATAGATCAGCTTAGTGCCTGCAAGAAAACAAAGTCCAGAGGGAACTATTAGACGACATTCAAACGAGACTTGCATCAGACTCGGCACAGGTGATAAGACAGCTGCACGAGCTCACAGAAATTCTCATGAGTCACGGACATGTGCGAATGATCAGAGTCAGTCCGATACTCTCTTATCACAATTGTTCAGCTGATTCACAAAAACCGAAATATTTCTTGAACTTACCGCCAGGTGTGGTGGAGTAGAGGGTGCCACCAGGCGTGGATGAGTAGACCTCTGGCATTTGAATGGGATCGGATATGACAACCCTCTTGGTCTTCGTCATGGCCATTGGCAGCGCATGAGAAATAGCTTGACGAGCAGTAGGTGATGCAGACATCTTGTTTTTGTTTTTCAATCTTTCCGTTACTTCGCAAGAATTGTGCTTGTAAATCGTAATCGAACGACTTTTGTTTGTTTACGCGGAATTGCGTTGCAGATTTTTAGCTGTTGCTATTTCTTTCTTCAACGTTCTCGGTTCGCTGTGCGAGTCCAATTGACAGCACACTTTGATTTGGGGCGCTATTTATACAGCGCGCTGTTCGTGTGTCAGTCGTATCGCACGTAAACAAAACAAAGCCACAGCCACAAACACACGTTCCATCGAACGTCATTGCGCTCAACGCTCTCTCTCGCTATGGCTGTCTCCCTATTGCTCTCTCTCATTCTCCTGGCCAGGCTTGCATTGCTGACGCTCTCACGCTATGCCTGCCTCGCTCTGTTTGCTCTTTCTGTGGTGCTGTGCTGCTTGCTCAAGCGTGGCAGCGCGTGTTGAATGAATTTAGTAAGAATTTCTTTTGTTTTTGTTATGACTTATTTTGTAAAACAAAAGTGCTTAATTTTTGTGGGCTGTTTTGCTAAGGACAACTGAAAACATATCTTGATTGGCTGCTTAAGCTTCTCGCGAACATTCTTTATCTACTAGATACTTTGTTTACACATTGTTTACACATTCTTTTATTGTTTACTGTTATTTTTGCCATTAGACGCTGTTGTTGTTCTGTGTTTACAATTTCTTGCATAATAACTTAATTGCGGCTCCTGTATTGGGCATTCATTAAGCGTATTAAGCAAAGCAAATGAGGTTTAATTAATTGTTTTACAAACAAACAAATTGCAAAAGCTTAAGCCACTAATTATTTTTATGTGATACTTATAAATATAAGCGTTATAATCCTTTGAAAACTTAGAGTGGGTAGTATGATAAGTTTAAGAATATCGAATATATCTTTTCTGGATAAGCTGGATATATTTAGTTTTAAAAATATGTGTAAATTGCAATAGTTATATCAACTAAGCTAATTATTCGGATTCAGAATATATTTGCATGTATATAGAGAGGGTTTTTCATACGTACTTCCTATTGCTTAGACAGATGTGCAATATTTTATGAAAACAGAGGGAATACAGAGTGGGTAATCCTAGTCTAAATCTTAATAAATGTTAAGATAACTGAACATACAATATAGATACTATATATACTATATACTTTACATTATGTACAGATTACCTTGATATATCTTCAATCTATTTAGATATACCGTATTGCCGTATTTCATTCAAGACATTCAAGTGAAAGTCCTTTAAAAGAACATATCTTACATATCATATAAACATATATTTTCAACAGACCCTAGAAGGTAAGGCATGTGGCTAACCTTGTCCCACACGCCTGCCTCTACCCGTGCAATCAGCAACGCCATCTACAGGCGAAACTGTGAACATCCGGCTGGTCTATATATCTTGATCATTTCGATATGTCATGTATGTTTTTTTAGAATTTTATATTATTTTAATTATAAAGTATACCTATAAAGACTGAAATTATTTCAGTCTGCTCTGGAATATATAAAGATCATATACAGATCGTCATTAGCCATTTCCTCTAAAAATGTTGTCATCGTCTTATTTTATGCATTTTGGTCACATGTGACTGGATCGGAGAAACTGGCTAAAAACTGCGCAGTAGTTTCTCTACGTCTGATGCCGGCCGGTAATGCCGAAAGAAAGTTCAACAAACCCCCAAAATGATATATATGTATATACATATATATATATATATATATATATATATATATATTCCATAGACACATATATAACTAAATGTGTATATGCAGATAAAGCTGGTATATCAACATCAAGGTGAAATAAGAAGTATTCAAGTGGCTTATAGATAACTGATTAGTCAGCTTATAAGCCAAGAGTCTCAAGGTTTCACCAGCTGATAAAATAAATATAAAAAGGTATTGAATTCAATAATTTAAAATGTTTATTTTTTATATTGCTTAGTGACTACAATTATCAAACAATTTCAATCAATATGACTGAGAACTAAACAGAGAACTTAAATTTAAGTGATGAGAGCTAACACTATAGAAGATCAGGGATTTAGTGTGATAATACAAGCTAGGCGAATGTGTCTAAATGAAACATGAATTTTGGCAGTTGCTGCTTGGAATTGCGTTGCGCGGCTCCACATGGAGACTTTTACAGATCCAGATGGAACTGTTCCTGTTCCTCAATTTTCAGCGATTGCGTTGTCTTAACCAAGTCGGTGGGTATGGGCACACACTTGCGGAAGGGAGTGCGGGGAGTGCCGCGCATCAGGCAGCTGGGAATATTGCTGGGCGGAGTTTGACTCAAGGGGGAACCACGCAGATTCTTCATGAAAGCCCGTTCATAGATCAGCTTAGTGCCTGCAAGAAAACAAAGTCCAGAGGGAACTATTAGACGACATTCAAACGAGACTTGCATCAGACTCGGCACAGGTGATAAGACAGCTGCACGAGCTCACAGAAATTCTCATGAGTCACGGACATGTGCGAATGATCAGAGTCAGTCCGATACTCTCTTATCACAATTGTTCAGCTGATTCACAAAAACCGAAATATTTCTTGAACTTACCGCCAGGTGTGGTGGAGTAGAGGGTGCCACCAGGCGTGGATGAGTAGACCTCTGGCATTTGAATGGGATCAGATATGACAACCTTCTTGGTCTTCGTCATGGCCATTGGCAGCGCATGAGAAATAGCTTGACGAGCAGTAGGTGATGCAGACATCTTTTTATTTTTGGTTTTCAAAAACTTTCCGTTATTTTATAACAGTTGCAATAGTAAATCGTAATCGAACGACTTTTGTTTGTTTACACGAAATTGCGTTGTAGCTTAATAGCTGTTGCTAGCTCCCTCGCTCTCCGTACTAGTTGTTTGGTTCGCTTTGCGAGTCCAATTGACACCAGTCGGTGATGGGCGCTGTATTTATATTACTCGCGCTTCCTCTTTCCACTCATTTAGCGCGCAAACAAAACAAACTCACACATACACACGCCTAAACATGTACACAGTGCACGTTGTGCTCTCTCTTTGCTTCTACTCTCTTCTCTCATTCAGCCAACGGGATAGCCGTCTGCTGATATTTGCTTTTGTTTTTTTTTTTTTTTGCCTGTTTTGTTTTCTACAAAATTTCTGCGTAGTAAAAGTCACAATGTGGTTGTTGCTATTCGTATGCATATACCGTTTAGTTGTTATTGGTTTTGCTTTATTCTATATCTTGCCAATTCAGACTAGAGTATTCGACTCGCTTAAGCAGCCTTGATCGAATGGAGGTGTGGCCAAGGGGGCTATTGTTTACCGGTTCTAATCTGTTTATCTTTGCTGCTTGTATATGTTTATTGGTCAACAAGAGTTATATAGAAATGTGGAGACAAACGCACACAAACAAGAGGAACCAGTCTTTAAAGTAGTCAATATCGATATCGAAGCAATGAGTCACGTTAAAATTAAAGCAGTAAGCATTAAAATGCATACATAAGTGATTTGCATAAAGACACGTTGCCGGTCAAATTAGCTGACGTATTAAAGCTAACATAACAATTAAATTCGAAGGCACAAGCCGGCAAAAAACAACAACAACAGCAAGCTGCGGGGGCGCCATTGACGACATTTTTAGACGCAAGCATGTAAATATTATGCCAACGAATTCGACGTAGTTTGCCATTTTGGCCATTACCCATAGGTAGCTCATGTAATGGCGCCACGTGTAGGACCTCGGCTATTAATGTGGGCCACGTTAGCCACCCACGATCATGTACAAGGTTAGTGCTTAAGCCACGTGCTCTTATTTATGTTCGCCTCGGACAGATCTGAGGCAAAGCACGCACTTTCCCAGCTGACCTCGTTCTAAACTTAGCATAGGAAAATTTTGTGTCTTTCTATTTTTTCCCCCAGTTTTCTGCATCTGTGGCACCTGTGCAATTAACCTCATTTGCTGCTCTTTACGGGGCAGTCTATCTAACCATATCTATGCCTAAAAGCTGACCCCCAAAAATGAAGGTGATAAACGCATTACATAGAACGAGAACAACAAAACTTGCCGTGTCATCCCGCACGTAGACCTCAGCATAACTGAAAAAAAAAACAGCCCTACGTGCGGGTGTAGGCCTACAACAGATTATCTTGCTCTCTCTTTCTTTCCCATTCATAAGCATTGCTCGGCCATGTAAGATTATCGCGCGCTCTCCCTCTTGACTATTGCAAGCATAACTCGCTCTCGCTTGCGCCTTATCAACCCCTGCGGCTCAACGAGTTTTTCGAGTTTTTCAGTTTGCTTGTACCTGCGCAGTGGGAATGGAGAATTACGTCGTCTGTCTCGCCTAGAGGTAGGATGCGTTTGAGCTCACCCCAAGAAGACACGCCATAGCCATACGAAACGCGTTTTTTTTGTCGCCAAAAATTCGGCGTGGCTGATGAAATTGCACAATGCCGTTTCAGCAGCTCTGTTAAGTACAATCTACAAACAAACACACATAGATTTATATATATATAAGTATAGTCAAATATGTATATGTGTATATAATTAGCATCTTAATTTAGCTATTTCTATTCAATGATAGTTTCTCATGAATGAAGCGCGAGAGCGCTCTTGTCTTAGTCTAGGGTCGATTGGGATTGAGAGGCATCTGAGCAGCAAAGCAACAAGTGTCGGGTATAAAAGAGTACTGTATACTCTATAGAAAAGTAGCTTTACCTATATCTATGTCTATATCTATATCTATATCTATATCTATATCTATATCTATATCTATATCTATATCTATATATATATCTATATCTATATCTATATCTATCTATATCTATATCTATATCTATATCTATATCTATATCTATATCTATATCTATATCTATATCTATATCTATATCTGTATCTGTATCTACATATATTTTATATCGAATAGACATAACATTACCTTTATTTTAAATTATACCATTTTTTGTGGCTGAACGAATTTCAAATACTTTAAATATACATACTATATATATATATATATATATATATATATATATATATATATAATACATAAATTATATTTTATGTTTATTATTTCATACCAATTTTATCTAACAGTAATTTTGGCAATCTTTTTATTACCCAACGAATTCTTTATACCCTATCATAAAATGTACTTCCTTTTCTAGTCCTTTGCTCTTCCAGTTAATTTCTGTTGATTTATTTTCTGATTCCAGTTACTCTATCATTCAGACTGCTCTTCAGCTTATCAATTTGAACGAAATTTAACAGATATGTATGTATGTGTGTGCGTCTGGTCTATTCATTCCGTTCTCATTTGTCATAAAGGTATTTTTTTCTCCGCCAAACAGCTGATAAGCTATGTAAACAACAAATATGAATATGAATAGGAATCTATATTAGACCATTGTGAGATAAATTAGGTTACATAAATAACTTTAAATTTTTTGGCTTGTATATTTTAAATACCTTAGCATTTTTTTATATTTATTATTTTAAATTAATTTAACTAATTGATAAAATATTAAAATTCGGACATGCTTTACAGATTGTCTATGCCCCATGAATAGGGTAAACGAAAACACCAGTTTCTTCTCTCTGCGAACGGCGATGACCCAGAAAAATGAATATGCATACATACATATATTTATATATACGATATATATACATACATATGTCTAGGAACCAGAAAAAAACATCTGCATGCGTTTATATTTTGAATATGTATTAAATTTTGAAAACAACAAATCGAATCAGTTGACTTTGTTTATGCGAAACATGAAAAACAAAGGCAACAAAATAAAACCAAATGGAAATTGTCGTCAACAAAGGTACCCGACAAAACGCATTTAATATAGGCCTATAAATCAGCTGTGGTTATCAGCGAAGTTTTGGTCTTTTGTCGCCATCTAATCGAGGCTTAACGCAGGCAGGCTTCAGACTGCTTGGCACGTTTTTTTCTTTCCATTTCACATTGCGCCAATTTAATTGAAAATAATCGTCGCGATGACGAGCAAAAAGTCTGAGCTGCAGTTCATTAGCCAAAAGCTGAGATAACTCAAAACTGATCTATATATTTGTTTTAAAAATTATGCCCAAATATTTCGAGAGCTTCGAAATGACAAGTAAAAACTTTGCAGTCGAGCTTAAGCGACTGCTTCATACTCGCTTATATTTAGACTTTAATTTCCATTTCCATACTGATTCAAGATATAGATCCCAGATATAGACTAATAATAAACATTGCGACAAGTAAAAGCTAATGGGATTTATTTTGCAGATAAATTATATATTCAGTAATAAATAAAACAAGCCTCGTTATATAAACTGTAATCTGAAAGAACTCTATATATTTCATATTTTAATTCTCTAGCTTGAACTTGGTTTAGTTTTAGTAATTCCCGATTTGCCATGCCCCTTACCTTAGCTTGTGCATAGACGAATAAATAAACAAGCTATCTAGACTTGAGCTTCTCTACACACAAGCACAAAGCTAATTTGCCCCCTTTCATCATTCAGCAACGATTGGAAATAGATTCTTAGTTTCGACTAAGCACACATAAATAATGCATTCGCAAATACGCAAAAAGAAAAGCAAAAGTAAAATTTAAAAGAAACTATGGAAATGTTCGCATCTCGATGTTGAAACCTTCGCAACGATCAATGAACTTTATCTCTCTCTTTCGCTCTCTTTTTCAATACTTTTTTTTTTCTTACTTTCAGAACAGACGAGTTTCATGAACTTATTGGCTGAACAGTTTTGTTGCCCTTCCTATAATCGATGGCGAAGCCTGACAAAAAAAATATATATAGTAATTCATTATCTTTTTTGTTGCAGATACTTTTACGTTCTTTTCAATAAACACCATGTTTAGCTAAGCTTGATGAAAGAATTTTTAATTGTTGTTGCATTTCCTGCTTGCTACAATAATTTAACTAACAAATTTGCCGTCAATAATAAATAAATAAATGTTTAGTTATTTTAATATAAATAAATATATTTTCTATTAGTGTTCAATATATATTTTATGCATTATTCAATATACTTCTAGTCATTCTATATATTTAAAAAGATTTTTAGAAAGCTAAAGTGGAAAAATTTTTAAAAATTTACAAAAAAGTTCAAGTTTATTAAAATTGCCACATTTCTTAGGTATGCATACTTGGATTTTCAATTAGTTATGCGCCTAAGTTAATCAGTTAACAACCCCTAACTCAATCACATTTGCATTTGAATTTTAATTGTGCAACAGGTATTCGCTGCTCTGACACCTTATCGCATCTAAGCCTGGCAGCAGTACTTGAACATTTTACATAAGAAACGTTAGCTGCTTCGTAAATGATTAATACATTTTTTACAATTACGTCGTAGTATTATATGTATGTATGCAGCAACAATTCTTTATTCTCTTTCGATTGTCTCATGTGCACTACGATAAGGAGAAATGAAGAAATGAGTCGATGAAAGTTTACTTTGTTCTAAATTAAGATTGGAGAGCAGCAACTTCTTTTTGAAGATTGTTCCGGGACTGAAGAGCATTTGCTTCATACCAAACAGATTATATAATGCATTTAATGCATAATAATGCATTCGAAATAATGTAATGCGCGCGTAAAGCTGGCGCCATCTATTGTTGTAAAATAAACAAAGTTGTCTAAATCTGCTTTAGTACTATCGATATAACACTATCGCTTTTTGTCTATTTAAGGCGGAAGAATGTATTTCCCATTTAGAAAAGTGGTTACTTTTAAAATATTCATATGTAAATAACATTAACATAATAAAAAAGTCGCCTAAGTTCAAACTCTAATTTACATTTAAAATAATAATAGCGCGCTTTAAGCTAGCGCCATCTAACGTTATGAGCTGTCAACATTTTTCTGCCATCGATAACACAACGTGTCAAAGCATGCATATCGATCGCATAATCGGTAATTAGTTCTTTTTGGCGGGAGGTGTGCACACTCTTTTGCTTTGCGCTGGGATTTGTAAAAGTTTCTTTAAAAAATATTTAAAAATAAATAAGTAATGGATCTTAACGATGCCGTGCTAACATGCGCGGTGAACATACACTGGACGAATGCTGTGGGCGTAACGGGTCGCAAGCTGGCCTACCGAACAGCAACATTGCGTCTGGTGCGCAACGATTTGCGTGAAATGTTTCTTGAAGTGACGCCCGAGAAGCTAAAGCCACTCAAATTCAAACTAAAGGACATAATGGTGCACAAGAAATTCATGGCGGAGGGTAAGGCAACGTTCAACTTTAAGGCGGAGCAGTGTGCTCTGTACCTGTCGAATGCACCTCCCGGCACCTTGATGATATTCCTGCGCACCATTTTCATCAAAATGAACGGAGAGGCGACACCACAGGACGAGGCAGCCATGCAAAAGAAGCTGCGCGAGCATATGTTAAGCACACGGCCCAGCACCTTTGAGGAGATCTCTCCAGTGACCACAGCCGAAATGGTTTTGGCGCGCAAAAAGGCGGGGCTTATAACGCGTGGCAGTACAACGACGCCCTCGCCACAGGCAACCAAGAAGAGACGCTACGATGAGCTGAAAGAGGACAAGAGTAGCGTGCCAGCTGCCAAAAAGCTATATCAGCCCTCGCCTTTGGCCAAGGCAGAGTCCGAGGATTCGTTACGTCTTAGCGCAGAGCAAATGGAAGTGCTGCGCGCCTGCACCGCGGGCAAAAACGTCTTCTTTACCGGCTCCGCGGGCACTGGAAAAAGTTTTTTGTTACGCAAAATCATCTCGGCATTGCCACCAGATGGCACCGTGGCCACAGCCTCCACGGGCGTGGCTGCTTGCCTAATAGGTGGAACCACGCTGCACGCCTTTGCAGGTATAGCTGGCGGCGATGCCACCTTGCAACGTTGCCTAGAGCTGGCTGCAAGGCCTGTGGCAGCACAAACCTGGCGCAAATGTAAGCGCCTGATCATTGACGAGATCTCTATGGTAGATGGGCAGTATTTCGAGGTGAGTTGTTTAAACTAAAACTAACTAACTATACTTTACATCATTGTACAACATACAACATTGTTCAATACAAAAATTTATATATATTTATGTGCTCGATTGCTTTGTGCTCTCACGCTCTCAGCGAGCAACGGAACTAACGTGCATTAAGCCTAATGAGATCGAGCGAGATGGCAGCTAAGCTTAAACACAAATTCTTATTTACTCTCAATTGCGCTATCCAATATGCACATGTGTTCATTTGTGTGTGTGCATGTAGAAAAATAGTTATATGCGCATGTATGTATGTATGTATGCATGTCTGTTAATAGAGAGCATGTCCTACGCTCACAAAAAGTTTATTTTTGGAAAGAGTAAAGTAAGAGGAAGAACATTTTCACAACAAACACCTACATACAGACAAACGCACGCTTATATATGTATTCGATATTATGTGTATGTGTGCATAGTTTTGAAGATACTTTCTTTTTTTTTAAGTTTGTTCTATACACATGTATATTTGGTTAATAATATAGCAAAAAATACAACAAATCCTTAATTCTTGCAGAAAATCGAGGCCGTTGCTCGTCATGTGCGCCGCAACGAGCGTCCCTTTGGTGGCATTCAGCTCATACTATGCGGCGACTTCTTGCAGCTGCCACCTGTTGTCAAAGGCGAAACAGGTGTGCAACGTTTCTGCTTTCAGTCGAGTGCTTGGGAGAGCTGCATTCAATGTGTCTACGAGTTGAAGCAAGTGCATCGTCAATCGGATCCAGAGTTTGTGCAAATACTCAATCATCTGCGCATCGGACATGTCAATGAGAGCATCTCAACGAGACTGGTCTCCACATCCAAGCAGAAGATCGAGGGCAATGGCATTTTGGCCACACAGCTCTGCTCGCACACAAACGATGCGAACTCCATAAACGAATCGAAGCTGGAGAATTTGAGTGGGGACAAAGTGCTCTTCCGTGCGGAAGATTCGGATGCATATATGAGCAAGCAACTGGATCAACAGGTGCAGGCGCCGGCTCAGCTCTACTTGAAAATCAATGCCCAGGTCATGCTGCTCAAGAATGTAAACATAGCCAATGGCTTGGTCAATGGTGCACGCGGTGTCGTCGTACGCATTGAGAAGGGCTTGCCGGTGGTGCGCTTCAAGAACAATCAGGAGTACGTGTGCCGGCACGAGAAGTGGATCATCAAGACAGCCACAGGTGGACTGCTCACGCGTCGTCAGGTGCCGCTTAAGCTCGCTTGGGCTTTCTCAATACACAAAAGTCAAGGATTGACGCTTGACTGTGTGGAGATGTCACTGTCCAAGGTCTTCGAGGCCGGACAGGCTTATGTAGCGCTATCCAGAGCTAAGTCTTTGCAGTCTGTGCGCATACTCGACTTTGATGCCAAACAGGTGTGGGCCAATCCGCAGGTGTTACAGTTCTACAAGAACTTCCGCAGACGCTTGATTGACACCAATTTGATACCACTCGGGCCCAAGAACAAGGACAAAAAGCCTGGCGAAAGGGAAGCCAACAGCGCTTTGGCTAAGCTCAAGAAGAGTTTGATGAACAAGCCGCTCGTCTCAATTAGCTAAGTTAAGTTATAAATTAATATAAGTTAAGCAATTGTAATTAGGACAAGGCTTTCCATTTTGAGGCAGCCTGGCAAGCGTCTCAAAATCCTAATCCTTGGTATATAAATTATGGACGAGGCTAGTCTGGAAATTATGCGACCTTAACGTGTGAATATAGGAAGAGAGATAGATAGACATGTTAGAGCCGTCCATTTTTCACACTACTCTCGCATAATACAGCCGCAGTTCATAAGACAAACCAAACCAAACCTAACTTTAGTTAAAACTCAATCCTTACTTTTAGCTATCATTTCATTGCATTAGTAATACTGCCTCAGTGCGTGAGGCTCTGCTTAATTTAAACTTATCCAAAATGTGCAAAACGTTGGAATACCCAAGATTGAGTAATACTGAGACTGTAAAACAAGAAATTTATATAAATTTGCTGTGTGGTACGTATGCCAACTATTTCATTGCTAATCAACTGATCATTTTATAGATTTAAAAACATTTTATAAATAAAAAAAAACAATGCATGTTTAATTTAAGTAGACCTGACTGGCAGATAACCTTTACTATATCTATAAAACAATTAATATTTATATAGAAAAATTAGATTATATCTCGCTCACGCTTAACTTAATGAACTTAACTATATAACCAAGAGACTCAGTTCTAATCACGCTCTTTTATCCCATAAGAACAAAGTATATGGAAACCCATTTTCAAATAAGAAAATTAGTTTATTTTAAATGAAAAATCTATAAAACAAATCAATTTTTATGGCAATAAACAAAACATTTATATTTTAGTATTTAAGTATTTTAGTATTTTATTATATATATATACAAGTGTAGAACCTGTACAATCAAATTTAGTACCTTAACAACACATGTATATATATGGAATTAGAGCCAAACCAGTCACAATATGAGGAATTCAAAGGAGATAGTCTCATTCTCATCGTTCTGGCTAAGCCTTGCCGTTTAAGTCGTCTTAGGGGTCTGGCAGGGATTAGACCTCTTGCAAGTAGGCTTCGGTGTCGTTGCAGTCTGTCCGTGTATCTGCTTGTGTGTCTTCCAATCTGCTCTTCGACAGTAAACAGCTTAAGGTCTCTGTGAAGTATTGAGCCGCGTACATACCAGGGGAGTTGGTTATCTGTCGCAGTACTCGGTTCTGCAAAACCTGAACCCGCTTATAATTGGATTTGGCAGCAATTCCCCAGATTTGCACTCCATAGAGCCATATCGGCAGGATACACTGCACGTAGACAGCTCTTTTGCATCTCAGCGGCAAGGTGCTTTTTTTATGGAACTATTTCTTTATATATATATGTGCAACAAAATTTGCAGTAATCAGCATTTAGCAAAAAAAAATATTTTATAAATATCGCTGCTTGCTGCAACGCGAGATTTTTATAAAAATTTCAGCTGAAATACCAGGCGAACAGAAATCGCAGAAAGAAAACAAAATTCGGCGATGAAAATTTCTATTGCGTGCAACAAGGGGCAAACAATTTGTGTTGCACACTTTTAGTTGCAGGCAAAAATTTCTGCTTATAATTTATAATGCATACTTTTAGTTGCTTGACAAAAAGCAAAAAACAAAAAAGTTTCATTGCATGTAACTAGGCGCAAATAAAATTCTTCTGACAATTTCTATTGCATACTTTTAGTTGTTTGACTTAAAAGCAACAACAAAAGTTTCATTGCGTGTAACTAGGCGCAAAGATAATTCTCCTGATATTCTATTGAATACTTTTAGTTGTTTCGTAAGTAAGACGACTTAATCGGCAAGGCTTTGCCAGAACGATGGGAATGCTGTAAACTGTCTCCTTTTAATTCCTCATATTGTGACTGGTTTGGCTCTAATTCCATATATATTCATGTGTTGTTAAGGTACTAAAATTGATTGTACAGGTTCCACACTTTTATAAATATAATAAAAAAAAAGTAAATTGAAGAATTACTTTCAAGGCCTCATCTGAAATGTCGGCAGGTATATACGTGCATCTATATTATATATAACTGTGGCGAGTGTCAGAAATTGGTGTGCTTGTTGGGGTCTGCAGTTTAGAGTAAAGTATACTATGGCACATTTTTGCCACTATTCGCAGATTCGGTTTTAGCAAGACTTTATGGTTTGATATAAGCTAAGTAGACTATCTATATATTGTAAATATTTAAGCTAGGCATCCACGTTCTGTAATTGAGTGAACGATGACATTACAGCTCGTTCTTATTTAGGATTCCACTTCCATTTGGTCTTCGAAGCGGCAGTGCTTCTGTTTAGACTGTGAGCCACGGGATTCCATTTATGACATATATATTAGCCTCAATTTTTCTACATTTTTTTAAGTGTGTATATATATTTGATGTAAATCCACGAACATTTGCTTGGTATGTTGGAAAACTGTAGCTCGAAACATTTCGTTTTAATGAGCATGTACTTGCTCGTCATCCTTAATTCCGCTGCCAACGGGTCCATGGCGACGCTCCCAGATGAGGCGATGCTTCTGCTTCATGAATGCGGTCTTTGCATTGGCATAACCGCCCAAATCGCCATCTGCAGGGGTATATAAAAAGCATTAGCATAATTGAAAGATTTTCGCTCTCTGTATGTGATTCGACTCCTACACTTGATAAACCAATTTTCGGCAGCCAACTCGTACTGATCCATCAGCGGCTTGCACTTGACCATGTGGTCGGGCGCCTCGTACAAGGTGCAATCCTCGAAGCGCTGTCGCAGAATATTCAAAATTTCATTGTCCACCATGCGATCACGTCTGAATTGCTGATCCGCTTCAAAGCGACAGACGGCATCGTCTGTGTAGCACTCATCGATTGTTGGCACGCGGCGAAAGCGCTGATGGTACCAATTGGATTTCTGTTGATTCGGTTCCACAATTGACTCTTCGCATGTAAACAAAAACAAAGCCGACATTAAATTTGAGGTTATGTCATTATGTAATTTCATAAATTGTTTTTAAATAATTCTGTAACTTGCAATTGCTTGAAGTTGCTGTTGCATGCCGTCTGCACTTACTGCAAATGCAATTTGTCTAATAATATTTAAATTTATTTACCGCGAAACCAGGTAATTGGTCCATCGATAGCATTTTGCACGGATTGTACAAAGCTGGCCATTGGGCTGCGCGGTTCTGGCATTTTGTTGCTTTTCTTAACTGCAAGCGACAGGAAACACAATTAGTATATATTTAACATTTTAATTCTGGTTTTTTATGCTTTTATTGCATTTTCTTTCAGTTTTACCCAAATTCCAGTCAGCAGCTAAAAACAAGAAACAGCTGTTCGCTGTACAAAGAGTTGAGCACTAGTGTGCGAGGAGTGTAACAAAGTGTTTTTCACTAGCTGGCAGCACTAATTTTATACGCAGCCAACTTTAAGTGACTCTATTTTGCGTGCGATAGTCAGGTTCGATTTCTATCGACGATTAATCGATTGGCCCGTTTGTGATTGTATAGACACATGTTGTTTTGAGATGGCAACATGTGCAGCATGTCGCAACATTTAAAATTGCACAGCAACATTACTCTTAGCGAGGGCTAATAAGAAAGTTGCAGAAAATTTCAAAATATTTAAATTTAATATAAAATATTGAAAACGATATCAGTTAAGGAAAGTTATCTTAATTTTTAACATAACACTCATACATTTTAAGCTCCGCTTTTATAAATTTAACCTAATCAATATTCAAATACTAATGCGTCGATCGTTTTATTGAGCTTCTCTGTGTGTGTTTTTGTTTTTGGCAAATTCGCTTGGCAAATTCGCCGCTGAGATAAAAGAGTGGCCAAGCGCTGCAGAGCAAATGGTGGTTGGCTGTGCTTTGCCAGAGAGACCACACCGTCTGTCTTTAGTATCTGCAAGTTTAAAGAGCGAACGAGTGGGAGAGCAGTGCGAGAGAGTGCGCGCGAAAAAAGATACGTCTGTGGTGCGCTCTTTGCAATTGCCGCTACGCAGCGAACACATTTCAACAGTTTTGTGGCGGTCGTCAGAAAGCTCGCACGTGCGAACGCGTAACGGCAAGTTCGGCATTAGCACAACTATAACGACAACAACAACCATAGCGCCGAGCGCAGCAGCAACAACAAAAATCAAAGAAACAAAACGAAAACGTAAACGCCGTGTATTTTGAGTGCGCGGCTGCAGAGTGCAGGCTTTATATACATATATGTACATGTGCTTGTGCGTGTGCGTGAGTGCGTGTTAGTGTGTGTTAGTACGTGTTGTTTTTTGGTGGCAGAGGAGCCAGTCCAAAGAGTAAAAATTCCTAAATAAATATTCCAACAAAAGTATGCAAAAATAAGAAAAATTCATTAAATTACAACAACAAATAAAGAAAAGAAAAAATTAAATAAATTCAAATAGTTTATAAATAGTGCACAAACAAGGCGGCTCGCAATTCACAATTGTCAGGCGGCGGTGTCGGCGTCGCAGTCATCGCTGTCTGTGTTTGCGTTCGTGTGAGTGCCGCTCAGCCAATCTATCACTGTGTGTGTGTGTCTGTGTGCGCGCGTCAGTGTGTATGTGTGTGTGCGGCCGGTGTGCGTCTGTGTCTGCCGGCCTGCGTCTTCGTCTGTGCCAGCGTCTGCTCTGCTCTGTATCTCTGTATCCGTCTCGGCAGCGTCGCCATCGTCGTGCGGTTAAATGTTAAGCATACGAAGTGGAAATTAATTTATGGCAAAATTTAATAATAAGTGAGTGCCGCAACAACAACAACAACGACACCCATAACAGCAGCCGTAGCAGCGGCGGCAGCAGCAAATAAAATATATAAAGACAATAATTTTGAAAATATTGTGCCGCCTGCAGCGACGTCAGCGTCGACGTTAGCAGAGCGCAACACGCGCGCCTTCAAAACATACTCACACACACACACATACGAAAATATACATATGCAAATGCATATAAAAGCTAGCGGCGCATCAAGCGCCAAGCAGCGCAGCGCCGTCGGCAAATGCAGCAGCGCCTAAGTTGAAAGAGAGAGAGCGAAGAAATAGCGGAAAAATGCGCGAAAGAAATGAAGTTCAACAAATTGTGCCAAATTGTTAAAATGCAAAACAAATAAAAAATAAAAAATAAAAATATACAAATAAAAATTCATAAAAATTTAAATGCAATACTGAACGAAAATGTAAGATGTAAAAGCTCGCATAACAGTTTTTTAGCAGCAGAGAAAACAACGTACATAAAACATAGAGTAAACTATCGAGCGTGTTATCGATAACTGTGCGATGACCGATTACGTGACGCCGATGATCAGCAGTGTGCTGAAAAAGTACCAAACGAGCGCGACGAAAAGTTTGCAGGGCCCCGCCGTGGCGCTAATCAAAAAGGAAATAAGCAGTTCACCGGAACCACATGAGCTGCACACGCATGAACCGGCAAACGCCACAGCTAGTTCCGCTGCTCACAGCGAACGCAACCAACAGTTATACGCAGCGCCGCTGCCGCTGCCGCCAGAGCTGTCGCAGCCAATCTTAACACAGCCGGACACCGATTGCGGCGAATTGTATGAGACGCGCTTGGAGGGCAAGGCGATTGGCTGCTTTTCGATGGGCGGCGAAATGCGTTTGTGCTTGCCGCAATTTTTGAACAATGTGCTCAACGATTTTACTTTAGATCAGATCAATGGCATCTTCGAAGATCTGGGCATATCCTGTTCGCAGTGCACACCCGAACAGCTTGTCGAGTTCAAGGCCGCCAAGATTTTGCCAACGGATGTGAAGGGCAGCGGCTTGATCACACGCACCGATGCGGAACGACTCTGTGCGGCACTTTTGCATCGCTCCGATCGGAACAGTTATGTGCCCGTCGAGAGCCTGGGCAAAGGAGCACTCAGCTTTCAGGTGTATCACAAGTGCTTTGGCAAATGCGAGGGCATCTGCACGCCGGATATGTATTCGTATCAGAAACCGACGTGTATTCAGTGTCTGGAATGCAATTGCTGGTTTTCGCCACAGAAATTTGTTGGTCATGTCCATCGCAAAGTGGAAAATCGCACCTGTCATTGGGGCTTCGATTCAAGGAATTGGCATGATTATCTCCATGTGGCGCTCGATGTCGAGAATCGCGAGAAATATCAACGCATATTGGATCAGCTCAAGGAGGTGGAACTCAAGGAAATGCACAAGGCGCAATGTGAACTGGATCACAAGAAACGAAAGGTGAGCGAGCGATAATTCAAATTTGTGATTCAATAAGGGAACCAACACATTAGCTAACTCAAAATATTAGAATGAACTACTAGTTCCTAGTTCCCAGTGCTCACATTAGTTTGCTAAGCAATTCTCAAAATTTCATTTCGAAAGAATTTAATTCTTGTTGAATTTTTGTTACATTTCGAATATGAATTTGAGCTTTAAATCTCTGATTGGGAAAGAAAAAATGTGATTGCAAATTTTATGCTTAGCACACACATAGACACTAATTTGGTCCAAATATGTTGTCTTTTCGCATTTTCGACGTGATGCCGTTAAAGCTTAGACAGACAAAAAAATAGGTTGTCAGCTCGCTGTTCCTCTAATTATGTTTCGTCTTGAGCCCTCAATTTGCTCGCCTCCAATCAGATTTGAAAAGCGCCGTCGCTTGCTTCACACCTTCGGCTACTGCAGCGCCCACTAGCGGCTATTGAGGCGGCGCCATATTTGGTTGTCACTGCTGCTGTTCTTCTTCTTTTTCGTCTTGTTGTTGTTGCTCTTTTATTCTCATTCACATTTCGCATTCGCATTCAATTCGATCTTCTTTAACGACATTTCGTCGCTTGCGCGCCCGTTAAAAACTCATAAAAATACAAAAGGCGAAGTCAAAAGCTGTGTAAGAAAGATAGCAATAGCGAATTTGTGGCAGTGCGACAGAGCAACAAACATATAAAAATGCGCAGCATTTAAAATTATGCAAATATTTTAATATAGTGTGAGTGTGTGAATGTGAGTCTGTTTTTTTTCTTCTTAAATGTATTCTTATACATATATTTAAATGCCAGTGCAATGTGCTATCTCTTTCTCTACCTCACTGCACCAAAAAAAAAACTGCCGTTGATCCGGCCACGTTCGTTTTTTTTTTGTTGTGTTTATTTATTTAAACTACTTAATTTTATGCTTAAACAGCGCACTCGATTTTTTTTGTTGGATTACAATAAATACCAGAGTTTTTTTAGCTGTTGGTTTGGCCCAAAGCTATTTTTTTTTGTCTTTTTGCTGCTTGCAGCCAGCGCGTCTGCTGTGGCCGTGGCCGAGGCGGTGACGGCAACGACGTCAACGTCGACGCTCTGCAGCGACGACAAGTTGTCTCTGCAGCTGACGTCTGTTTGCTGGCAAACAGCAAAGAACAATGACGAACGTTGATTATTTTTAGTATGTGCGGCGACAATTGAGTTGTCAATTTAGTTAAATCGATCAAAATAGCGCAAAGCTGAAATTGAGAGTAAGAGAGCGGAAGCACAGGCAGCTCACGAATTCCATGCACGCTCGCTTCCTCTCACTCTTTCGCTCTCTTGTTAGCTAATTAGCTCCTTAGTTACAGCATTTTCTTATACATTAAAATTCGATAATAAATTTATCGATACGGAATTGGGTTTGCTCTGATTGTGCTTTTGAGTAGTTTTTTTTTTGGTTGTCATTGTTGACTGTGCCTTTTTTCCATTCGCACCAGCTTCAATGTTAAATATTCAGCAAATATGTAATAATAATGAGCAAAAGGGTTAACTGAAAGAGCCAGCGGCACAGCGCAGGGATAGCTGGCTTTAACGGTTGGCGCAAACCGGTTGGCGATTGTCTGCTGCTGTTGCTTTTCGCTCTCTCCCGCTCTCCTTCTCTATTCGCCTTTGCTGGGCTGCCGCGCAGTCGCAGCAATGCCAATAACCAGCGGCGTTTCGTTGCGCAAAAAAGGAATACACAAACATTTTGTATGTATGTACGAAACAATAACAAGCAGAAGCAGCGGCAGCCAGCGCTGGGTGTAGTTACCGCAGAGCGCCCCCAAACGGGCGCAGCATGCAAACAAACTTGCTTTCAAATGCCAATGAACGTGATAGACGACGATGACAGCTACAACAACAACAACAAAGACAGTAGCGACGCCTCTGACGGTGTCACGAGGCGCAGACATTGACTGAGCAGTCGGCAGACCTTTTCATATGTATGTAATTGTGTTTTGTTTTTGTTTTTCTTTGCCCTTCGCAGAGTTGCGGCTGAGCTTTTTTTGGTTTGGTTTGTGTCGGCGCCTATGTGTGACTAATCAAATTGGCAGCCCTCGCAGTCGCAGTTGCGTCGCCTGTTGACTTTCGCTGCCTGCCTCTATATCTCCCTCTCTCTCACGCTCTCTCCTTCGCTCTGCTGCTACTTACATAACCCCAAAGTGTTTTTGCACTCAAGAATCTTCAAATGCGCAAAAAGAAACATTTTTTGGGATAAAATTTGATGTTTTTAAACTCAGTTTCAACTGGTTTTGCTCTTGTTGTTGTTTATCATAAAAATAATCAAAATTTACATACAATTTAATCGTTAAAAATGTATACGTATATGTAAATGTATGTTGTTTTTACTGTTTATTTTGTATAAAAATTTAGTTTTAGTTAGTGTTTTGCTTGCTTTTTGTTTGTTTGTCACTCTTTCAGCGTGTTTTTCTGGTTGTATGCATAGCACGTTCGTTGTTGCTATTGTTGTTGTTGTTGTAATCCATATATTGGACTTATACATACGTTTATCTTATCTCGCTCACACTTAGCCTGATAACTCAGCGAAAAGTTTAGCTGACCACGTTCAACTTGCCAAAAACAAAAAACCTTAAATTAATTTAATATTAAGACAAAGGGCGAATAAACACGACAAAAAACTGTAGTCAGGGTTAAGTCCAATCGCATGATCCATGAAGCGCAGCTGATAAGATCGACAAATAGCTAGCAGCGTAAAGCTCTCCTTGTGACCAGCAAGACACGTGTGCTCTCCCTCTCCTTCTATCTCTCTCTTTTTCTCTTTCTTCTCTTTTGCTTTGATTAGTCTTGTGTTTAGCTAATTGGCGTATCATGCAGTATTCGCTTGCAATTAAATTTGCCTTGGATTTCCCCAAAAGATATTTCAAATATTTTTATGTCGCAGTTTTGAAATAGTTCATGTGAACAGTTCATGTTAACTGCTAACTCTTAGGGGTTCACAGCTTGAACTAGTTATTAAGCAGGTGTTTTCTATGAGCCTTATCTACCACCCACAAAATTCAAAGTCTACTATATATATAATATATATATAATATATATATTAATATATATTTATATATATACATATAGATCTGTATTTGCTTATATTGCATGCATATGAATATTAACCCCAGGGATTTGCTTCGCTGAGCTTGTTGTTGGCCAAGCTGACAGTTGGCGATGTGATAAGCGCGATAAGCTCGAGAGATTGAAGCTTTGTTGTTGTTGCTGTTGTTGTTTCTTCTCGGTTTTTGCTAGGCTTCGCTCTCACCCTCACTGGTTGATCTAGTAAAAACCCGCTGGCTAGTCTCGAGACCTCCTTGCATCATCGTCATCATTATGATGATCATGATCATCATCAGCTTGTCATGTGATGTTCGCTTGCTTTGCTTGTTTTTGATACCCTGTGTCCATTCAAAGAGTCTAATACAAAGAGTATATTGTAGTCGTGGAATATTATGTGTCGATCAGTAGGATTCATCTATGCCTGTAGAAGATAGATATATACATTCATAAGTCTTCATATGTGTACCTATATTTAGCACGATTTCAGAGACTGTAAGAGTGATTGAGCGTTAAATGTACAATATTAAATATTTCAGAGAAATCGATATGTATCGATAACTAAATTGAGTTAAATTAAATAAATATTCACTACATATATATAATCGATAAATATTGTCAGCAAAATCTAAAATGAGGTTATTATTAGATATTCTAATACATCGATAAATATCGATAGCTATTTGATGTAGTTTTTGAAGATTGTTGAAAGTTGTCATACTTCTCTATATTATTGCATAAGATGTTATACACCATTTTACTCAAATATCGAGTGACAAGCCATTGCTAATTTGAGTATTTTGGTAAGAGAATATTTTTAGTATTTAGGAATCAGCTCATTGCAGGTCAACTCTTAGCCGATCATTCCTGACTTAAGCTGCCTCTCTGGGGCTTTTCTATTATGGTCTATAAGAGTAAAAACTCAGACGGACGGAAAGACAGCGGCGCACAGGCAAAGTCTGTGGAGGTGCGGCCGGTTCTAGGCTGGGCTTGGGCTTGTTGGCTGGGCTCAAGTACAACTATGAGTACTGGGTACTTGTTGTTAGTTGGTGTTGTTGTTATTGTTGCTGTTGCTGTCGCTGGGACAGGTGTGTGCCTGGTTGGTGCCTCGAGTCTGCCGGACAACGTTTAATGCGTCGTTTATCGTTGATCTTAAATCTAAATAGTTTGCCAGTTGTTGTTGTTGCACTGCTATTGGTGGCCTCCGGCAGACTAGACCCAGAACCAGACGCAAAAAAAACGGCTTAAAGCGTCTGCTCACATCTTCTGTTCTCTCCGCTCTGCTCTCCACTTAGCAAATATTTAAAAAAAAATCGTTCTCATGTTGATTTTAATTAAGCCCAATGATTAAATTTTAACGTTCGACCGTTTTTTTTCCATTTTATTTTTATTGTTGCTAATGATATGTGATGTGTTGTTGTTGTTGCGTATCGTTTTTCAATTGATTTGAGAAATTCGTGTTTATTTTTTTTTTCGCATTCACACAAATTAGTGAAAATATTTAAATAACCGAAACGTGTTTCCAAATATTTTTGCTTACACATATAGATACATGTACGAGATGTATGTATATGTATCTCGATACACATATTTACATATACATCTATTTTTTATGGAGCTGCAAAACTGTTATGTAAATATTTTGTCAACGATTCGTTTGTTGTTGCACTTATTATTGGCATCGGTAGACAGCTCTGAGATCGTTGTTGCTTTAAGGTTACACCAGATATTTTGGTCAGAAATAATTATTTTTGATAAGAAATGTTTTCTGGGGGGCTACGTATTGAAAGTAGAGCTTATTCAAGCTTTGAACTCTGTAGTTGTTGCTTTAAACTGCTGCATATTACAACTCAATGTAGTAGGATTGTCATACTAATTGAACTTGTACTTTGCCAGAGTTGTAGTAGACGT